GAATATCTTTTGAAGGCCTGGTTTGGATRAAACCATATAGTTTTTATGCATTTGGTACATATAATAAAGTTGTGAATTTTAGACATAAATATCTGTTCAGTAGTTTATATATATTTGATGTCCTGGCTTTAAACTGGATCCATTTTAATGTTAAATTGCTTTTTTAATAGAAACCCTCATCTAATCATAAAAATGAAAAAATATCATTTTTACTGTCTAGCAAAAATCTTTGTTACAGATAATCAGATTCTACAGCACACATCTAAATAATGAACAGAATCTAGAGAATCTGGATTTTTCACCAGTTTGCATTTTTTCAATGCAGAAGAGTTATGAAGGTCCTCCACTAAAAGAATCAATTGTAGCATACTTTATTTCTCAGGAGAACATTGTAACATGCAGGAATTTGATATTTCCCTTTCTTCCCATTTAATGTAAATCTTTTAATTCTAGTGAGAACAAATTCAAGTTTGTGGTTTTCCTTCTTTTTCTACAATATTTGTGGATAGGATAAAAAGCAAGGGAAGAAAAGAAGGAAAAAGAAGTATCGCTCCTCRCGGAAATCATCAGCAAGCACAACTTCAGAATCTGAGTCAGACAGCAAGGTAAATATGCAGATGTGTTGCTCTTGGCAAGTTTTCTTGGTCAGTGTTACAAAAACATGAAGATTTCTGACTTTAACATATTAATATGGGTTTTCATGTTCCACATTGGAAGCCATGTATTCTCACTGGGTCTGAGCTGCACTTGTRTATTCCACATGCAACATGGAATCTGCCTGCACTGGCCACAATGCCTAGCAGAAATAATTTGATCTTCAGAAAATGAATATGCTTTATTTCAGCAATTTGTAGTTATTTTTTWAATTTCAGACATATGCAGGTTTTGTGCTGCTCAAATGTTTCTTTTTGATACTACATTAACACTTAGAATGTTCTTTATTTAATTAACAATTAAATTGAACACCATCTCTGAATATGCAGGTATTGCAGGATACCAGTGGCCAGAACATTGCCTTTCTAAATATCTGGATAGTTTTCTGTTGGAGACTTTTCCAAATGCATATTAAATGGAAGATGTCTTTTTCCTTTTCTGAAGTACAATAATATAGATACATGGGCTTACTGAATGAACAAAAAAATGAAGAAGATTCATGAGGCAATTTGTTCTGTTACGTTAGCATCTTACAGTGTATAGTAACCATATTTCTTGCCTAAGTAGTAATAATACAGTGAGTTTTTAAGATTCTGTGTGTAGACTTCATCACAAGCTTTTACTGAAATACCTGATTCAGTGGGGTATGAATTGTAATGAATGAGTGTTGGCAGACACTTATGAATTGGTGCTAATGAGAGTTTAAAAACTTCCATCATATAAAGGGACCCCGAGATACTATGGAAAACTCTTGGGAAATACCTGCTTAACCCCATCTGATCAATAGAAATGGACATTGATAAAGAATAAAGACTCCCAACTGTTGCATGTTTTATGTGGTTACAGCAGTGATAGCTGCTATCCTTCCCAGAGGCTCTCTAAGCATCCTGCAAGGACTCTGATACCYGCATACAGATTTTCTCATGCTGCTGAATCAGGAAATTGGCAGCTGCATCAAAATTACAGCTTTTTATATTATTCTTGTTAACTGCAAGGTAGATAGGACAATCTTGAAGAATTACCTTCAGTAGACATAAAAARACTATTGGCCAGTCTGCTTTGGGGGTTTCTACCTTTTTCATKAAATGATTTTGTTGTGGTTTGTTTTCCTTTCTATTTAGGATAGCACAAAAAAGAAGAGGTCAAAGGAAGACKGTGAAAAAGAGAAGGTATTTCTATTCCTGAAATCCTTTGATCAGAACTACATGTTGCATATATAATGGAGCTTTCTTTTTTTTTGAGATTGAATGCCTTAATTGCATCTGTGGAAATTTTCTGTCCAAACCCACACAGTCAGATAGTATTCAGTGCACCCAATTTGAACTAGACTTTTAGTTGGATTCAGCTYCTGTTTTAGTAATTGTTAGTGGAAACCACTGGATCTGTTCTTGTTGCAAAGGTAAATTAAAACTGTATCTAATCTGCTATAGTAGATSAGCTGCATTCTAATATTTTGGGGTTTACCTTTAGCTGTCACGTTGAGTTAAAAATGTGTGCAATATTTTCAATGGCATATGTGGAAGGTTATTGGCTTGTTGCTGTAAATTAAGAAACATAAGCAGAGGGTCTCTTTATCTATATGARGTAATAATAATAGATACTATACTTAAAACAGCTGCATGAAAATCCTGTCTCCTTCCCACCACMATTTTGTACATTCGTCCATTATCTTTAATGTAAATAATGTAATTTACTTCMATTTTAGTTATTCCTACACTAAAAATGCTTTCAGAGTCCACCCTARTCTTTCTCTCCAGTTACCTTTCTTTCTTATCATGTTGGCCTCTACTGCTCTAGTCAAAAGTATTGACTTTGATGTAAAAATTCTCCATTGCATAAGGCAAATGTACTGATCCCCCCCACCCCCCTCCACCCCCCCTTGCTCCTGCATCTATTTTACATTTTCCATTTCCCTTCACCTCCCCGGGTGGCCTCTTTGAAGACCAAGTATCTACCATAGTCCCTTATTGTAACACTGCATCTTCCAAAAGCAAAGGGCACTTGGGTACTGGAGGTCTTCCCCTACATGCAGATACCCAATGCCTTAGATGGACTGCAGCCTGTGTATTTTTCATGAGTTCTTTTCGGAAGTTTCTGGTCTTAGAAACTGAGTGAGAGAAAGTACCTTCAGTCTTAGGAACACATTACYTTGTCCAGAGCAAAGGAATGAAGTGAGCAGAAAAGTAGCTCATCAGAACAATGTCACACAGCATCAAAATTGTAAAAAACCTGTCCTTTAAATGCACTGGAATTAAATATGATGTGTTGGAAGCACAGCTGGCAGGGACAGCTTGTCCTGATTCAACACAAAGGTAGAGAGAGCTTTTTCTTTCGTGAACAAAACAAAAGTCTGAAATTGCAGTGTTTGTATGCATTATATTTAGACATCTTCAGTAACTCAATATTTAAAAGTGGTGAAAGGTTTTATTTTAAAATGCTCRTTCCTCCATGTGTTATTATTTAGCATAAGCGACTATTATTATTCCTCTCACTTTCAGAAAAGTGCTCTATCTTGATAACAAAGAAAAAGGAATACACAGAAAACTACTATTTTCCCTAAAAGCATTTTAACAGTTTAGTAGAGTAATTTGATCATGATTGGTAATTAGTTTAATGTCAATCATACTTTAAAATATTTCACAACTTAGAAGTGATATTTCAATCTTAAATTTTAGGATTTATAAGTTTTATAAAATGTGAAAGGTTTGACTTTACTCATAAATATATTATTTTGTTTAGGAAGGTAAAAATCACCACAGGAAAAGGAAGAARGCCGATCGTGGTGAAGGGCCTTTATCGTCAGAATCTGTATCTGAATCGGATCAGACAGAGGAGGTCGGTGTGATTCCTCAGTTTCAGATGTTACAGTGCTTGGAGCTGACTGATTCATATAAGTGAATAAATGAACTAGCTTAGATTTAGTATATTGCTGAAACAGGTCTGCTCTGTACAGGGGAATTGAAGAGTGCAGTACATTTAAAGTTGTTTGTGTTTTTCTTTTCAAGATAAACTTTTAAGGATTGTTTAGCTTCTATCTACAAGTAATATTGAATTAGTTTTCTTGAGAATCAGCTTACTGTGGATATTACATTTGGTTTCATTTTGTTTAGGTACAAGCAAAAAAGAAGAAAAGCAATGAGGAAAAAGAGAAAACAGCAAGTATCCCTCTTACTTATACTGTAGTTTTAGGATATAAATACTCTGTACTTAGTTAATTTCCAGTTTCATATTTTTCATTAATATAAATGTTTTATAGCAACAGTCCTGTTACATCTAAATTAACTTTCTGAAGTCACTTTTACAATTGTTAAAGAATATGTCACTCTTATATGTGATTTGAGAACTATACACCTAGATTTATACACAATAGAATRTATTTTATTCTCTGTCAGCCTCCTTGAACTACTAATACCTGTATGGTACCAAGTAGGAGAGCACTTTGCCACACAGRTACCAGTGCTGTTCCTTTGTTAGCWTTGTGTGTAATTGCTTGGTAARCCTTCTSTACCACCATGGAAAGGGCCTTAGGMCATAATTGCTGGAACATCTGCACCCTTATAACTCTTCCCTCAACCAAATAMAAAGCTACCAGCAACCTGTTACTTYTCTAACTTTTGTTATTTGTATCTGTTGGCAAAAGTGAGAGGAAGGTTCAGCCATGAGTTATATAGAATTCAGATTTATCACATCTACCTGAGGTTCCTCAGGAGCATAGTGGGTTAGGGRTCCTGAATTCCCGCTTGAGATGTCTGTGTATCTATCTCCCCTGTCAGCAGCAGTGTAGGCACCTTAATTGTCTATATCAGGAAGGGCAAAGGGAAGGTCTACATTAGTCACCTAAAAATACAGGCATAGGGGTGTCCGTGATACTCAGTATACACATTTTTCCATGGAACTTGTTTGTTTTTTTTCAGAATCATATGAACTGTTGGCCATTRCATTTGTAGTGATTGATTATGGTTCTTTTTTTCATAAAAGATTTGTATGTGTAAGGAATACGCATAAAACAAAGCTTTTGTAGAAATCTCTTTTGAAATGTCTTTGCAAAAATTTCTTTTCTGTGCTCTCATTTTGCCTTAGAAGAATGTAATAGATGGCCATTGTATTATATAACTTTTTTTTTTCTTTAGGATAAAACAAAAAAGAGAAAGAAGCACAAGAAACATGGTAAAAAGAAGAAAAAGAAGACTGCTGGTTCAAATTCAGATTCAGAATAATATTTTAAAACAACCTGAGACTATCAACAGAAGTGCAATGACTAAAGGAAACTTAAACTGTGAAATGACAGCAAACTTTACCAAACTGCATGAGTTTTCCTGTGTTTTAGAAATATTCCTAATCTTTCAGTAACCAGCCAGATGCAGATGTGCTGGAAAAGACCATTGTTATTGCCTGCTGCTTAATACATGAAGTACAACTTTTATAAAATTCCAGTAAGCAGTGTTAGATGTTTGAGACAATATGAGATGGTAGGCCAGCTGAGGTGTAAAATATTGGAAAATAAGAGTTAAACTTTTTAGATAGTAAAAATAGTCTTTTAAAGCATTAGTAATAGTCTTTATTTGTAAATCAAGACAAATTAAATCCCAAGTTCATCCTGCAGGTTAATATTATGCATAAACTACTACAAGCTGGTGTCTGCTAATGGAAAATTAATGATAACATTTTAAAGGCTGCCTTTGTAGAAATGTGTATCATCTGCCCCATTATCATCTTCATGCTATGAGAAAGGGAATGCTATTTTGGCTACCTGAACAGGGTGCCTTTGCCTTTGATTCTTGCAAAACTGCTGTTTTTAATCCATGCATCTCTGCATTCCTGGGAAGCTAGAGCTATTGCCAGCAGACTTTTCTGAATAAGCAGTTTTGAGCTTCCAAGCATGTGCTTCTGCATTAAGCAAGAGCAATGACATTTTGCAGTATAACTGACAGTCAAAACCTGAAGATTTTACCTCTGCTTCTTTGAAATAGCGATAGACCTTTGCTAGTAAATATGCGTATTTCATTTAATGTAATTTTGATTTCATTGAAAACTTCTTGCAAACACTGGTAGCTTTCTTTGCATTATCTTTAGAATTGTTTTGCATGATTTGTACCATTTTTAAATTAACAAAATGCAGGTAATCATTTGTTGTAACCAGTTCCATAAATTACGTTTCACATGCAGAGTTTCATATATGTATTTAGTTGAGTTCATTGCTGTGTTTAAATGCACACTTGCTGAAGATATTTAGCATGTAAAAAGCAGGGTTTTGATACCTTAACAGCTTCATATTGAAGCTGATTTTACTCTAAGCAAGCTCAGTGGCAGATCTGTTATGTGACGTGTCTTGTTAGATAAAAAACCTACTGCCAGAATCTCATTAAAGATACTGTTTAAACAGTTTGTATTTATATTTTTGTACTTGAGGGCTACAGAATGTTGACCTAAGTCATAAAGCTGTGTTACTTTAATTTAGTTGTTTTAGATAACTGAAAAAAAAAAACTTTTTAAAATTAAATGTGCACACAAGAAAACACAAGCAACCATTTGTTTTTAGTTTACATTAAATTCTCACTGTATCTTCCATTGAAATACTAATTTCTGGGCCTTCTGTTAGCCTTTAACAAATGCCCATCCATCCCAGGTAATCAAATATAGATTGCATTTTTTGATCCACCCCTTTTTTTCATTGCACAGGTGCTAACTTAGAACTTACCTCTATTGCATACTGTTTCAAATGTTGTGTTGCCAAGAATTTCAGGACTTTTAAGACATTGATTATTAGTCTGCATAACTAAAATCTGTGGGAGAAAGATTATTTCATATTGCCATTGTACAGAGAAATTGTCTTCAAGTTCTTGGGAAAATACAACCATTGAATTGCAGCAATGTGCATCTAAACAACAGTAAGAATATTTTCATCAACTATTTTATACTCTTGGGCTTGATGTTACCAATTCTAGACACTTGTCAGTGAGGTTAAAATAAAGATGAGATGCAGTGAACAGTAGGGGTTTGATTTGGGGGTTGTGTTTATTTTTTTGGGGTTGTTTTTTTTTTGTGATGTTGCAGTTTTGGTAAAAGGACTTGTAATGAACAATAACATAAATGCTCTGTCCTGTGTGATACCTTATTTGACTTTTACACAACCACCTGCCACAGAAAGAAATAAAARTGGAAATGAGACCCAGTCTTCCAAATACTTAAGCCGGTATGTTATTTTAATTGTGTGACTGTAACTATSTCTTCTGCTCAGCTGTAGGCTTCGAGTGCTGTTGTCATGCTTGGGAAGGGGTGTAGCCGCTTAAGGGGCTTACAGGCTTTATCAGTTCACAAGAAAGCTGCTTTAGTATTGAAAGGGAAGCGCTGCAGTTTGCAATGCGTTAACAGATGTGCTGCGTATCCTCTTGCATCCCTTTTTTCCTGAAGGAAAGGGAGAGGTTGGTCTCAGCCTKCAGCTTTCCTGATGTGCCCATGCCGAGGTCTTGGGACAGTAATGGGGGGTATGGGTGGTACCTACACCCGCGTTCCAAGTTTCAGCAGAGGGACAAAGCARAAAACTAGCAATGTCGGAATAAGAGTGGTTTAACACATTTTTGCCTTCTGACAGCAGATGAACAAGCACTCCTGTATGTGGTATTTAACTTTTATCTCTTTTTTCCAGAAACATTTTTAGACATTTGAAATACAGTTATTTTATTTTTTASAATGCAATTTTTTTACGTACGTGGTAAGACTTATCTTTGTTTTAACTGTGTGTGTGCGTGCGGTCCAGCGGCCCCGTGAGGCCGCGGTCCCCCCCCGGCGTTGCCAGGGCAGCGGCGGCCGCTGGAGCGGCTATCGGCCGCCATGAGCAGGAAGGCGGGGACGTTCCTGGTGGAGTCGCTGATCCGATCTGCCAAGCACTGTGAGTGTCCCCCGGGCTGTGGGGGCCGCCGCCTTGCAGCCCGGCCGCGTCCCAATGCTCATCGTCTATGGCCCTGTTCGCCTCCCATGGGACGCGCTTCCCCGGCGCCCCTTTGGGAACAGCGGGTGGGGCGGGGGAGCGTCGGTGTCACGGCCCTGGCGYGTCCCTGTGCCTGCCTCGTGTTTTACCAGCGTAACTTTAAACCTGTGTTTACTTGTCTTTGGGCCGGGCAGTTAACAAAAGCGAAGTGGAATGTCTGATGAAGCTCTTCGACACGCTGGTGGCCAAGTCCAGCAGCCACTTTGCTGGGGCCGGCTTTGACCGCATCGTGTTCCGAGACACCCTGCACAGCGCCTTTGGCATGACGGATGACGTGATGTTGGACCGAGGTGAGAGGGGGACACAGCTCTGAACRCGAGGAAAGGGGCTGGGCTTACGCTGCCGTCCCTTGAGTGTGTCCCTACCAAACAAAGCCGTCTCATCCCGGCCAGGACAGCAAAGGAGTTACGGCCAGGAGCTGTCGTTGATAAAATGGCACCTTTTCTTTCTTTATGCGGAATAGTCTTCTCCTTCAGGAAAGCTCATGTTCTAGTGGAGGCAGACCAGCCAGAGGCAATTGTGCTGCCCTGTGGCTCTTTCTATCGCAGTCGCTGTAGTGCCGAGAACCAGCGTCGTGTCACTTCCCTTTCCTCCGGTGGTTCCACCGGGAGCTGCGGCCGCTGCTGCGGGACAGCTCYAGCTCAGGCTTGGCAGTCCCAGTAAGGCATTCTGATAAGGGAATAATTTAGGGAAGAGAGGCTCTGTGAATAGTATTGAAGGGCCTGGGCAGATAGAAGGAGATGAGAGTAAAGAGCCAAATAACCCCTTGAAAATACAGTGATTTCACAAATTGGTAACGAAGGACAGGTCTGCAGTCACTGTGAAAGTTGAAGGAATGATCTCTGTAGAGGTGTCTAGGGGAGTATGCGAAGCAGGTGTGAGTCTGCCATTCTTGCAGTCTTGGGCTGCCAAGAGCCACCCCTTGGTTCAACSTTCTCCATCTCTCTAGCTGGAGAGCTACTTACATGCCATAAAAAAAAAACTTGTTACAATTTTATACAGCAAATAAAGTGTGTGTTGGAAGATACCTGACATTACCTTACACATTCTTAAAAATTATTTTAATGCATACTTGCAAAGGGATGAATTTCTAAGTCAAAAATGCTTGACTCTGCATGTCAAGGTGTTCCTTCAGCCAATTTACTAATTAATATTCTAAAACTATTATAGATGCTAGTCGATACTTTGAATTCCATCTTGGATTTGAAATACTGTATAACAGGCTGTATGAATATCGAAGCTGTGAGATCGAAAGTTGCTAAGGGAAAAGAAAAATGTTCTGTTACATGACAGGAGGCTATTTTTCTTTGTATATTTAATATATATTGTTTCTAGAACTACTTGTCTCCAAGATTTTCTGAGACAAAAACTAGTAATTCAAATCTTAATCTGTATGCAGAATTATCCCTTATTTTAAGAGATGTTGGTTTATTTGCTTTACATCTGCACGGAAGCATACTTCTGGTAGGTTTAAGTCAGGAAGGCAACAGATCAAACACAATGTCTTACCGGGCAGGATTCTGGAGTGGAAGATCAGTAAACTGCAGGGAGAATCCCTTTTATTGTTACATCTTAGAGTCAAGAAGGGTAATCATACCTYGGTGAAGGCAGACAAAGATTTGAAGAAGAAAGATAATTTATGATTTTATTGAGTTTAGGAAAACATTTCTTTTTTGTTCCCTTTTAATATAAATTTTAAATGTATCTAATACATTTCCTAGTGTTCAGCACTTTTGATAAAGAAAACAAAGGCTCCATCACTCTGGTGGAATGGGTGGAAGGCTTAGCTGTGTTACTTCGGGGGACACTGGAAGAGAAGATGAAATGTGAGATTGATCTGTATGCTAATATTTAGTAGTAATGATCGGATTCATAACAAATAGTATGTTACTTTTGTTAAAATTTAGCAGTTACTCTTCTAGTGTATTTAGTAATTGAAAAGTTTTCTTCTGGTTAGTTTAATGGAATGAAATTGAGTTCTGAAATGGCTTCTCYGAGACAGGTTTTTTCTCTGTAAACTGCTGTTACCACAGCCACCAGCTTATACTGTTGCTTGCAAAATCTGGCATTTGAACTAAAGTTTATTCTGCAGYGTACAGTTTTGACAAAATATATGTTTTTGTATTCACACACAAAATTAGAAAGAAGCAGATGTRTCTCTAGAGTGCTTTTGGCTAATTAACAGTCTCAAGCCAACCAAGACCAGTGTCAAYGTTCATTTACTGGTACAGTGGGCACACAGTAGCAATTGCATTAACTCCAGCAGTTCTTCAGCTTGGAAGCATAGTTAAAAAACTGAGTCTGTTTGTAAGATGGTAATGAAAACCTCCACAGTAATGACAGAGAAAGATAGAGGAGAAAAAATAGCAAGAACTCTCAAATTTTAAGCAGCAAAGAAAAAAATAGAGCATGCGAGATGAGAAAAAAGCACAATAGAAAAAGGAGAATGACAGCATGCTGTTTCCATAGTTCCCAGGTTGCAGCATTAGCCATCCCTAATGAACTATACAAATTAATCTGAAAAGYGGTCAGGGATGTCACAGCATTGGGATGTGTGCCCAGGATGTAATTCATTGTATCAGTACAACTACAAGCAGTAAAATATGCATTCCTGCTGTAAGCACTATAGCAGATACTAGTGTGTAGTGATGCACAGTGTTGTCTGTCACAAATGTTCGCCAGGAGTGTTTTATTATTTATATGATACATTTGGCTCGTTGATAATGCTGTACAACATACAATTCACATTTTTTGTCTGTATGTAACAGCTTTAATGGCATGTGATTGTAGTTTGTAAACAACTTGAAATTTATTTGTATTTCAAAAGACTGTTTTCGAGTTTATGACCTGAATGGTGATGGATACATTTCAAAAGAGGAAATGTTTCAAATGCTGAAAAACAGCCTTCTCATACAACCAGCAGATGAAGAGCCTGATGAAGGAATTAAGGACTTGGTAGAGATAGCAGTGAAGAAAATGGCAAGTACTTACTTATTGTGATATTTGAGTGTCTTTCAAACATTGATTAACCAATAMTTAAAACCTTTCTGTGAGGTAACAAAAATGGTGTCTGATTTACAGTGGGATTCTGCAAGTCTCCTGAGGAAAGGCAGAAATATAATCCAAATCTAATGAGTCCCAGTCCAGTATTCTCATGTGAAACTGTTAATTTAGTATGCAAATGTRCTATAAAGTTTATGTATAAACTTGCATGTGTATATGTGCTTACACATCTGTGTATGCCCAGTCAAAGCAAAAGTCCATCAGAAGTGGAAAACTCAAGTGTAAGTAAGCTGCATTTATTCCATTACTATAGGCATCTGCAGTAGCTTCATTTTTAAGTACATTTATGTTTTATCAGTTGATCATGAAATGTCTTTATCCAATTTATATATTCTAAAAGAATAGTAAACTCAAGGTTATTAATMTGAACCTTGTCTTACAGTGCTTAATCTAGGATATCCAGATCAGCCATGGACTGTCTGTCAATTTTAACTAAATCAAGATATATATTCTCCCCTTCTATGGTGGTGGTGAAAAAATTTCACTTAAAAGCAGGTCTTTAAAACCAGGAATCCCAACTCCTTTTATTTAAGCCCATCTTCTCAATTTTTCAACCCCACCCTTTTTGCCTTAGGTGGAAGCAAGTCACACATCTTTTCTGAGCAGAAACTGATGACCCCCACTTGCACACAAGCAAACTAAAACTAGAATCCATGTTCTTTAAACACCTGTTAAACAAAACTGCAAATAATCTTTTGCTGAAGCATTCCATTCCTTTTGTTAGGACCATGATCACGATGGCAAGCTTTCTTTTGAGGACTTTGAAAAATCAGTCAGAGATGAAAACCTCCTCTTAGAAGCCTTTGGACCGTGTTTGCCAGACATAAAGGTACATTGAGGTCAAAAAACTGTACAAGCCAGTTCCTTACAGACACTTGCACCGGGATCAATCTTGTGAATGTCAGCATGGGGCACCTTAACCAGAGCTGGGCTCATCCTCAGGGCCAGTTCTGCTGCACAAAGGTGGCCCCTGAGCACTCCCACTCCAGGGCTGTTGCAACACAATGCTGCAGATATTAAACTCATCACCAAAGGAAATGTCAGTCCTCTACTGAATCACCCTTTATTGTTATCCCTGTCTCTAGCATTCCTGTTTCCATCCAGTTTATCTCATTCTGCAGGTGGGCTTTCTTGCCCTCCATTGATCTGGTCACACATTCCTACTGCTGAGCAGCCACAATTTYAATTTCCTCTTCAACTATAACTTTGAATGTTCTGATTGGTCTGTCAGTGATGACACCATCAATGCTATGGATTTCTCTTTTCTAAACTAAAAAGCAAGAGATTGTATTCATTGCGTTCCCATTTCAGTTCAATACCTGTCTATTCAGTGCCTTTTCTGACTAAATATAAATCCTTTAAATTAACTGAAAATTAACTTTTTTTTTTTTTTTTTTTTTTTTTTTTTTAAAGTGAAAGAGGAAAATGTTTCCATTTAAAAGACAACTATGAACTATACAATATGAGAAGAATACTGGTAAAATTTAACAGAGCAGTATCATATTTGAACAGAAAGTTTTCCGGGAAGTTCCTATGTAGTAACTCCAAGTTATCACTGCATTGTTGAACACTGTTAAAAGGGATCTTGGTCTTCACCATTCTTTGTGATATAGTAAAAACAGTAATAGTTTCAAGTTGCTCCTAATTTCAGTATTCCTTTTGCTGTAGAAGCTATTGAATAAACAGAATTTACTTCTGTAACTCTACCTGAGTTCTTCCGTGTGAGTTACGAAATGCTACAATATGAGGTACACAGAACAACACTGCAACAATAATATATTGGTTTCTTCATTCCAAGTAACAAATTGATACAATTTTTAATAGTATAATATGGAATATACAATATAAATACAGTATAAAGAAAGGGGTTTTTTTTACATTAAAAATAAATATTTTAATCCATATTCTTTACAAAAGGACTRTTGGAAGATGTTGCCAGCAGTATCTATATTCTTCTTCTTTGCTTTACAAGTGGTTTGGCTGAGCTGCTCTCTGGCTTTTCCACAGATGTTGTTGAAACAGAATCTGCTACCTACATTGGAGGGGAAAAGAATTTAGTAACCTGTAACATTACTTTTTTATRCTCATTTAAAAATAAAGCCACATCCCCAGGATATGAGTATTGGGATTTATTACTATCATCACACTTGTATTGACTTCTGCTGACTAGAGGAAAAAAGTAACACCAAAGGCAGCATTAAACACAAGAAAGGTGAAACTTAGAAGACTTAGCACCAACCACCATTTTTGTATTTAAGTACACAAACTGATTTCAGATACTCAGTGATGGAGTATTACATGTCATCTCCATTCTTCCTACCAGAGGTGTTTTCAAGAAATGTGTGTGTGCTTTTTAGTGTGCTTTTTAAACTCGGGTACTTCAGGAAATGAAGGGAAAGCAGAAATGTGCATTTTGATATGTATTTTAGAATTAAATTTAAGAGTGCTTATTTATAAGATAAGCACTTTCAAATCAATCTAGTTAGTCATAGCCAAGGGAGTTTTTTTGTATTCTATTTTAGATGAAATGCTATCAGGAATCTATCAYGACCTGCTAATTGATTAATATCCTCCACAGAAGGCTATATAGCTTMACACATGCTTCTCAGCATGGTATTGGTGATTCTGTACAGTTTTCAATGGCATAAGAAATGGTGGAGCAAAATTACATTGAACTCTGACTTCCATTATTTTMCTTTCAGAAACCAGATACAAGTAGCTCACTGGAGTCAGCAGGACTGCCTGCAATGTTACCTTGCCTCCACATGTGGAGGAAAAAAAAGTGGTTCATTAAAAATCATTTAAGATCACGCACTGACATTTATACTCTCTCAAGTGTAGTGTAATAGGTCTGGAGTAGAATTGTCCACCATTTCCAAGATTATGGAAGAACTCAACAGTAAGAGCACTAACTTTGTAGATAAACTGATGATGGTGAGTAAATGCTGAGTAAAGTTACCAGTGAGTCAATATTTTTATGGATAATAAGCACCTGTGTTTGAACTATCAGAACTTKAAGAACCCATACCTCTTTCAGTTTATTTCGAATTAATGTAGCTGAAGTATTCAAAGACTCRTCATCCATATCCACTTTAGGTATTTCTGGTAGTTGTGGACCAATAACAACTTCAGTATTGTCCTCACTTGTTCCAATGAAGGAAAACTTGTTACCTTCTTCTCTCTTCCTCTTACGTTCTTGCAGGTGAGTTGTGCGAGGCATAAACCTGTCAATCCCATTGTAAGCTGGAACTGTTCTGTGCTGCATTAAGGAAGCTGGTGGAAGATGTCCTCCTGGATGTACACTTGGAGTTAGGGATGTGTTTTGACCAAAGTACCCAGAAATTTCAGCACAACTGTTATCATAGTGCTGAGATGTTAACAGGCTCTGATTCGGATTCCCAGATGGATACACTGTGTTGTGGGMTACCCCATGAGAACTTGTAATGCAGACGGGTTCCGAGTCACTGGTGACATGTGATCCTGATGTACTCCATGGACAGTCATGCTCAGAGTTCTTTGAGGCTGTCTTCTTAGGGCCCTCTACTTTCTTTAACACAAAGCAATCTTTAAAATAACAAAAAACAAAGCACCTTCATATTTCATGTCATAATTAGTTCTAACAYCCAAGAACAAAGCTTTTAATATAAATGCAGACACAATACCAGTGATATTTGATTCCCAGCTACCTTTCTAACTTTTTTTAGGCTTCAAATTTAACAAATTCAACTTTCAAACCAGTTTTCCAGTTTAGTGCCTTTGCTGGTTTGTAGCATTGAAAAAAAAAAGATGTTTTGATGATAAAAATCAGTGGGCTTACTGCCTTTAAATATCCTCACACAATAAATAATGATACCCAAGTATGTGAGCACAAGAAAGGAGAAGTYTGTGCTCAGCAATTTGCTTATTCCTCAGCTTGTCCAGCCTTCAGTGCTGCCTGGGAACTCTGTAGTACAGAAGCCTTTGTAAACACAGTCCATTCTTAACATTCCCCAGTGCAAAGATGTGGGCTGGAGAAATTTTTTTGAAGGTTCTGGTATAGTCATCTTCCATAACTGTCCCTTTGAGTGTGCCTGAGGAGGCTGGGACAAGGGTGAAAACTTGATCCAAAATTTCCTCTCAATTTCTGATAACAGTTTAAAAGGAAACAAAAACTGAATATATTAAAGCTTAAGTATTTCATTATTTCARTCTTAATGAAAGCCAGAAAATTACTTTGAAAATAATATAGTTCTCTAAATACAGAGAGATACCTCCAATCTCCTGTAAAAATACTTCTGTTTTGGGTATGCGTGGGCTGGTTTTTAGTAGTGGGGAGGCTAYAGGGGTGGCTTCTATGAGAAACTGCCAGAAGCTTCCTCAGTGTCCAGCAGAGCCAATCCCCAATGGGTCCAAAGATGGAYGTGCCACTGRCCAAGGCTGGGCCAATTAGAAATGGTGGTAAYACCTCTGGGWTAAGAGATTTAAGAAGAAAGATAAAAAGTGTTTGTGCCACGTTAACTGCAGCCAGAGAAGAGCGAGAGATACAGCCCTACAGCCACCAAGATTAGTGAGGAAGTGGGCAGAGGAGTTGCTCCAGGCACCAGGGTCAAAATTACCCTGCAGCCCATGGTGAGGACCATGGGGATGCAMAAATCCACCTGCAGTCCATGGAGGTGCCCACACTGGAGCAGGTGGATGCCTGGGAGGAGGCTGTGATCTTGTGGGAGACCCATGGAGAGAGGGGCCATGTTCCCATGCTGAAGCAGCCTGTCTTTGGAGGACTGCACTCCATGGACGAGTGACCCATGCTGCAGCACTCTGGGGAAGAGTGTTGCCCTGGGATGGACTCACACTGGAGAAGTTCATGGAGAACTGTCTCCCATCAGAGGGACCCCACAATGCAGCAGGGGACTCCTCTCCTTGAGCAGTGAGAGAAGCCTCAGGTGATGAATTGACCATAACCCCATTCCCTGTCTCCTTGTGCCACTGGGGTAGGAGGTAGAGCTGGAAGGTGGGAGGGGTAGGGGGAAGGTATTTCTAAGGTCTTATTTTACTTCTCATTGTCCTGCTCTGATTCTGTGAGCAATAAATTCAATGCACATCTCTAATGAGAGCCTGTTTTACCCTTGATGGTATTTGGTGAGCARTCTCTCTCCTGGCTCTTACCTCAACCCATGACCCCTTCATTAAATTTTTTCTCCTCCACTTTGTGGAGGGCAGTGAGTGAAAAGCTTTGGTGGGTGCCTGCCATCTGGCCAGCATCAACCCACTACAGCATCTTTAAAAGAGGGAGGTAAAAAGCCAGCATCAACCCACTACAGCATTTTTAAAAGAGGGAAGTAAAAAGCATTTTCTTTAACAGGCACTTTAGCCAAAACCCTACCCGCACCGAAGAACATTAAGATTTTATGGCACATTTAATCAAGATCCTATAGGAAATTTAATCACAAACCTCTTTGATTTGTTGCTTTTGCTATATACTTTCTTCTATCCTGCAACTTCTCTCTAGTTTCTTGGACTGTTTCAAATTCTGGAGCATAGCACACGTGCAGCAAACTACCAAAGAAACTTCGTTCATCCATTTTTTTCTTGGCCACCCTGAAGGGAATTAAATGCATTGGCAAAACTGAGGATTTTACTCCAGCTTCTAGCAACTTAACACATTGCAAGTACAGAAGATGTAAAAGATTAAGACAACAAGAGGCAGATATTGCCCTGTCCAATACCTTGCACATTGCAGCTTTTTGAATTTTATAAGATACACTTCAGTAAATTGCTCTGCTGGATATTCATCTAGAGCGTGATACTCCTCAATGGCACCATATAATGCAAATTGTTCAACTAATTCCTTCATAACACCTAAYGCAGGAACTCCTTGTATCAGTAAATAGCGAGATTCCAAGTTGATAGTGTAAACCTGAAAAAACAAAAACAAAATCAAAGAATATTCAAAAATGTTCCCATTCTTGCTTTATTGCAAAAGGCAGGCATTTTCTCCATGTTTTCTGTTGTTCTCCAAATCCTCTCAGGATGCTGAAAACCCCTATGTACTMTGCTTTGCAGGGCAGTAAGTGCATGGTTATTTGGGACCTCTTTATCACTGAGCAGGAACTGAAATAGAGCTTCTCATGCATCATAAAATACAAATGAGACTTGACTTTCCTCCACAAGGTCAGAGTTTTACTGCCAGATGGTGAGTAAAATACCTTAAGTCTTTGGCCTATTTCCGTGCAAGACTTACTAGTAACCAGTTAATAGGATATACTGTTAAAATACAGAAAAAGCACTRAAAAAGTTGTCTTCTTCATAAGCAGAGTAGTGCAGATGAGGAARACTGGTTTTTTTCCACACAGGAAGRAAAAAAMCAATTACCAAAATTCCCTGGGGCAGATCCCATGTGTGCAAGCTGTCTCCTTGCCATGGTGATCCAACAGAGCATGTTTTCAAGACACAGATAAAATCTGGATGCTGAGAGAAACAAGGTCTTCTCCCAACAGGTTAAAAATCAAACCAACCACTCTTTTCTGCTTTGTGTAGTGACCATCACATAACAGACTCTAAGCAAAGCTTTTCATTGGTTCACTATGTACAACAGGCAGCTAAACCCTGAGATCAAAGGAAGTTCATTCTTAGTTTGTAAAAAAAAAAAAACAACCCAAACCACAAACACTTAAACTGCGTAAGTTGCATATATTTTACAAAAAAAAAAGTGGGCACTGCTCGGGAAATCAGTTCTCAAACTTCTACTACAAAAAGCAGTTTTCACACACAAATCACATAGGTTCTTTTTGAGGCAGCAGCATACTCTCACCCGCATTACTTTGGGAAATGGGAATTGAAAGAACCTGATGCTTTCACTAGGCATTTTATTTTTTTTTTAGTTTATTTTTTTACCTCTTTCTTGTCCAGGAAAACTAGACTCGAATAAGGTTTTTTTCACATTTGGGGCATCTACATTGTTTCTCCTGCGTATGTCCTCCACTGGCCAGTGATGGCTGGAAGTCTGTGGTGGCCATTAACCCTCTGTGGATGCACGAGGCTCTCTGTCCTCTGCCCYACTGTTTATACTCAGAAAAGAACCTACTAGCTTTGAGAATTCATGAAGCATGGAGGGTGTGAAATTTTACAGGAGGGTGATGATAGTGAGAGAGATGTGCCTTATGCATGTGTGTAGGAGTAACCATTGTTCGGCACCGGTGAGGCCACRCCTCAAATCCTGGGTTCAGTCCAGGGCCCCTCTCTCCAAGACACTGAGGTGCCAGAGCATGTCCAGAGAAGGGCAATGGAATTGGTGATGGGTCTGGATCACAGCTCTGATGAGGAAGCAGGGGGATTCGGCCTGGAAATAAAGGTAGCTCAGGGGAGAGCCCTAGCGCTCTCTACAACTCCCTGACAAGAGGCTGGAGACAGATGCGGGTTGAACTTCATGATCTTAAAGCGATTCTATGATCCTTTCCTACGCCAGCCCCAGAAGGTGCCGCTACACCTCRCTGCACGCTGAGCGCATACACAGATACCCAAATCTCGCAGTTCTGCTGCAGTAAYGAGATGCTCCTGCCGCGCAGCAGACAATTCCCCTGGCCTCCCTCTCTCCCTCTCCTCCCCGGGAGCCGCAGGACTCTAGCGCCGGCCCGGCAATCGCCYCCAGCCCCTCACCCGAGGCGGCTCAGCCCGATCCCCCCGCCCTCCCACCTTCACGGCGCGGGGCCGCCACCCCTCGCGGTACTTGGCGCGGGACTCGCAGGCTCCCAGCTGCGCATGGTGCCGGCACGGAGCGCCCGGGCCGCCGCTGCTGCCRGCCGCCATCTTCCCATCGCCCACCGCGCCCCGCGACGCGCCGTTCCTATTGGCTCCCTCCGTGAGGCGGGGAGAAGGAGGCGCGGCCAGGGGGCAGGAGCCAATCAGAGGCGGGCAGGGGGGAAATGCCGCGCTCGCATTGGCCGGCAGTGGGTTGTACCATTGCCGCGGGCAGGGCAGGGGTCGGTACCCCCCCGCGGGTAGGCAGGGCCGTGTCCGGGCGGAGCGGGCGCGCAGGGCCCGGCGGCCGCGGCCATGTGGGGCTCTGGTGACCCTGGTGGAGCCGCCGCCGCCACCATCGTCCTGAGCGGGACCCGCGACTGCTTCCTGCACCTGCCGSCCGCGCTGGCCTCGCTCCTCCGCCTGCAGCAGGTACCGGTGCGGCGCCCCTCGGGGCCCGGGCGGAGGGACACCTCAGGCAGGGAGGATTACGTGAGCGTACCCCTCCGCCCCCGCATCCTGTTCCCATGGCGACRCAGAGCTCTCCTCGCTTCCCTCACGACTCAGCCCTCCCCGCAGCCGGGACCCCTCACAGGGAGACATCGGGGAGCCCCTCATTCCCTCACCTACTGCGTGTCGTCATCCGTTCCTRATAAAACGCGGGAAAAAATGGAATTTATCTTCCCCAGCGTGGTCTGGCGCTGTGGGGGCGTCTCTGTTAGCACTCCCTATTTCATATCAGTTTTCACAGTAACTCGCCACCATTAAGCGATTAATGTGTAAATGTATAATTCAGGTAGGAGGTGAAGTGGTAAATCCACGAATCGACCTCATTCTTGGTGTACATAAATAGAATGTATCACTACAGAAAGGGACTCCCGTCATGCAGAGCCCTGCTGAGGACGTGGAGTCAATTGCACGGAGTGCACCTTACACTGTAAATAACATTTCACACGTGGAAACGGGAGGAGAGGCACTGTGTGCTTCTTGTGCCATGAGCATAGAACTAAGCCTGCCAGCAGAAAAGGGTGGGGAGTGGCAGGAATGAGCCGAGAAAGGTGCGAGCAGTGCTCAGGAGTCCTGGCACAGCCGCTCTGGGCCAGGCAGGCCTCCCTCGGCGCGGGTAACCTCCTGATTTCCCAAGGCCAAAAAGGACATTTCACAACAGGAAACAATCCAGGCGTGTAACAATCTACTCTTCAGTCTTTGAGGTAGTAGAAAGAGGTTGGTGGAACTGGAAGAAATGCAGTATTAAATATAAGCTTCATTTCAGCTGCAGTTTCTGAATGGTCTTCAGATCTGCTGTCAGGAGAGAGGAGAAAGGAGTGCAGTTGTTTTGAAGTCTTGTGTCATTCTGAACGTCATTTGTTGTGGACTCTGGCTTTTGCTTAGCCTGAGCTGCAAAATTAAAAGAGAGGATCTCTGAAAGCTTGATAGAAATAGCGTATTGAATACATCTAGTGAATAAGAATGTTTAAAAGGGGATAAATGAACCCAAATTTTAGAAGATATTAGATAAGTGAATGACAAAATGTTGTACAAACCTCAATGTTGTGTGAAGATTRRACACTCAGAGTGATGCTTTATATGTGGGAATACAGGGAATGAAATGTTAGGTTTGATAAAAGAATTTTGGAACCACTGTAGATAGCCTCTGAAAATGTTCTCAGATGTTACAAAAAAAAGTCAAATATACTTGAAATTATTAGAATACAGTTGAGGAAGAACAAAACATCAGAGTGTTAACAAGCAAATCTGTGGTATATCCACAGTTACTTAGTCTTGATCACTAGATTTTCACAAAAATTGTAACTTTTAAAAAACTACGGMAAGTATCAGTTGAATGACATCATGTAAGATACAGTGTCTTCATGGAAACTGATGGTACTGAGATTCTTCAGTTTGAAATCAAAATACGTGGGCAGTTCTGAAACAGATTGATGAAATCATTTTGGTCTCAGTTAATGTRAGTTTTGACTTATTTTGTCACAGAAGCACTCTTGGACACCATGTAAATGTTACAATTTTTGTGAAATCAAAGTCTAAGTTTATTTCTTTTCCTTATTTGGGAAATACAAATGTACAGTTACACATTTCTGTAAAATATTTTTTGATGCACTATAATTGCAGAAGAAAGAAAAAAGAGTTAATTTTCTTACTTAAAAATGATCCATAAAAATAAAAGGCTGCTTAAGAATTGAAACCAACATGCACTTCCTTGTTGAGAGTTGTGCAAACAAGGTGTAAAATACAGATGATATCTTTAATTCCTTTGAGCTCTCTAATCAATATGTTTCGGTTGTCTWATAGTTGTCTTACTTAGCTTGTTTTCTATTAATTTATTTTGCTTTTAAACTCATAGGGCCAAGCTGTGAAAGTATGCTGTGGTCATCAGCCTATATTTTTGAGCTGGATGGAAATCAGGCATCGAAGTCACCAGGGTGAAAATATTGCAGAGATTAACAGACATTTGGCAGAGAAACTTGGCATCACAGATGGAGAACAGGTTTGAAATGCTGKTTTTTTTCTATTTAAATAGAGCATACTGGAAGTGAAAAGGTAGTGCTTCACAAGTTAGCTGACCTTGTTTTGTGTRTTTGGACAGTTTCTTCATTTAAATCTGCTCATGAGAAAAGTTAAGTGTCATGAAATGTCTTGAACATTAGAAGATTTSSTCATTAAATCATTATCAATTGCCTAAAAGATTTTAGGGTAGGCTTGTGGGTAGGTCTCTGCAGAGCTGGAGTGACTATCTTCAGTGAGACTAATTTTAAGTAAATACAGTTTTCAACAATTTGGGAATTGGAATATTTTGCTTGGAATTCTTGTTGTTTCCAAGTAACTGTTATTTCCCACATATTCTTGTTTAATTTATTTGGGGTTTATATTTTCATTCCTTTGTTGCCCCTTCACTATATGTCCCTGTGTGTCTTTTCTCTTGGAATATGTATATTCACATCTTATAAATGTGTATAAATTCACCTCTTGTATAGTCATCTCTARCTCTTGAACATTCTGTTAAACTGCTCATAAACAAATGTTTCATTGAGCAAAAGTTACTCTCAATTATTACTTCAAACTAAGACCGTAGAGGAACTCAGAATTGATTGTTAYTTTTATAAAAGATGACCTGATCTCCTGATCTAATTCTCTCAGAATTATRTCCTCCTCTCAGAATCTCTAGAAGGTAACTAGTTTTCTCTTAGGAAAAAAATTAATGATATTTCTTTGAAAATTAATTGCAAGATGATGTYTGAAAACTGTTATTCTTTGGCAATAACTGACTTTTGAAGTATATATTTAATGTGTTCTGAGAGACCTAAGCCACAATAGCTTTTACTGTTCTTCCTGATAACATAGGACATTAAAACTGTTCTCTGGAGGTGGGACCATTTCCTATAAAACAGTTCATTAAGGATCTGGTTTGCTTTTCTACTGAACTTTTTTCTTATTTTTCAGCTGGTTTTGCATTGTCTAAATTTGTGCAAAAGTCAATGGGTTTTTCATCTTTCTGAAGTCTCGGAGATTTAAAAATAAAGATTAAAAAATGAAAAGATGGTTATGGGATTAAGGTATATTAAAAATTGATTGTTGTCATCTGATACAGCTCCTGGTACTTTTCACATTCACTCTTTATTGTCATCCCCAAGTCCTGTCCATTGAGCATTCATCTGCTAATGAATTACTTAGTGTCATTAAGATGGTTGTATTCCAAGATCTGAAAGCATAATAAAGGAGATGTCAATTTTCTAGTTGAAATAAAGACAGAGCTTTTATATATTTAAAAATAAGAAGTTAAGCATTTTGGTATTAATTTTGCCAGGTATTTCTTGAAGCCTGTTCCCACGTATCCTCCTGTCAGCAAGTAGAAGTGGAACCACTCACAGCAGATGATTGGGAAATTCTGGTAATAAAATTCCTTCCACTGTTCATGTTTTTGTCTTACAGACAACAGAGATTCTGACTCAAGCAGTTCAGTTTCCATTGTTTTCAGCCTTTAAGAAAATACTAAATGTGGTGGAGTTTAATTGTATTTTATATTTCAAAATGTATATTAGAAAGAGACGTATATGTTTTCTTTAAAGAAATATTAAAAATGTATGCAGCATTTAATTTCTAATGGTATTACATTTCCCCAGGAACTTCATGCTTCCTCTCTTGAAAGACATCTTCTTGACCAAATTCGAGTGGTGTTTCCAAGAGCCGTCTTTCCTGTCTGGGTTGAACAGCACACCCATGTTTACATCAGAATCGGTAAGCAGTGGCAAATGCTCTCAGGGCACCTCCAGGAAGCTGTTTTGCAGGAGTGGATGCATTCATTATCATCTTTTGTTCATACTTAGGTACACTTGTGCCAGCAGCCCCATATGGGAGATTAGAGCCATGCACAGAGCTTCTGGTATGTCCCAAAACACACGGACCTGAGGAGAATATCACCAGCACACCTTCCACAGAAAGTGACATTCTGCTCAAAAATTTTGTGAAAAAAAACATGGAGCAAGAAGAAACGTTAAAGGATCCTTTTGCAAAACAACCTTACTTAAAGCCTGGAGTCCTTGAACAGAGTAAGGCTGATGTAAACGTGACATTTGGCTCAAATGTTCTCCCAAATATATGGAATTTCATAGGGAACATTTTCTCTAATACATCTGAGCAGAARCAAAAGACGTCATGTGATAACAATGAAATGAGCACCTTCAAAGACAAGCTGCTGAACTTAATTCACGTGGATTCCATTTTTAGAGTATGTCAGTCCCAGCCTCCCAGCGTAGAGAATGTATCCACCACTCATGCATTTCTGAAATGCAATGCTGTTCACGTCTTTCCATGGAATTTAGAATATATTGATTTGGATCCAAATCCTGTAGTATCTTACGGGAAAATTAATGAGCTGCTTTCTCCGAGACAGCGTCATCAAGAAGCAAAACAAAATCTGCCACCTGAAAAGCAAAATCATTTGACTAGTACACAAGATAAAAATTCTTTGAATTCTAATAGCAGTCAAGCATCCAGTGAGGGATCTGTTGTTCAAATCGTTTGGAATGGATTTGAAGACCTAAAGAGTGTCATAGAGTATGGCCACAATGGGGAAGCCTTGCATGTTGGAAGAGTTTGGGTCAGTTGGAGCATACTATGTTTTGGGCTTTTTATGTTATATTTTCTATTGGATAGTTGTGAACTGGCTACTTAATATGCGGTTTTGGGCTGTAGACTTTGTGTTAATCTCTGGATTAGAATTAGAATCAAATACTGTTTGTTGGAGCTGTGCTTTGCACTCATTCTGGACTGCATTACTTGCCATCATCCTCCAGGGTGTACAGTGTACTCTGAGTTTCTGCACACTTAGCATTTTTACACTAATGAGCAAACTTCTTCAGCATTTCTGAAGGGAATATATGCTTTCTTCACAATCTGTAATTAGCCATTGTATTAACAAGAACGTGGAAGTCTCTATTTACATATATTCAGTACTGCATAATAAAACTCTTCATCAGTTAACTTCAAAATGTGCCTTGCACCTTAGGGGTCATCAAACTGTAAAGTAATGGGATCACGTGTCCTAGTGCTACATGATGTTTGTGAGTCCTTTTATATACACTTTAAAATACATCTTAAAAGTTAATGTCAAATAACCAGCTTGTGTAATTTAAACTGTTTTAGTTTTTTCATGCCATTTTGCAAGGTGACACAAATCCTGGTGCGGAGATACTGGTGTTTCAGCTTGTTCTGACAGAACTGCTGCCTGATGATGTTCTTTCTTTCCTGGAAGCACATGTGGGATCAACGAAGAAAAAAAGAAAAGAAAAGAAAAGAAAAGAAAAACCCACAAAAAAACCCCAACCAAACAACAAAGAGCAAAACAAACAAACAAAACCACAAAAAAACCCAACAAAACAAAACAAAAAAAATTCAAAACATTATAAAAAAAAATTGCTCAAAAGCACCATTTGATTATTTTGACATAATGCCTTTCTCACCATTCAATTGTTAGTGTGTTAAGAATGAGAGCAAGAGCCTGCAGTGGTATTTGCCACAAAATCTTTTGACAGAATTAATAATTTTCTGGATGGCAGCTATCATAAAGTCTCTCAGAGTAAATAAATACTTACGAAAAGTTTTCAAATTGGTGTAAATTTAAAATATCATGGATTAATTGAAAAGGAGTTTCCTTAAAAGGGCAAACTGACTAGTATGATTTAGGGAGACTGGATTTTCTCTCTCTCTGCTGCAGGTCTGCTTAGTTCTGGTCTCTAATGGCTTACGTATTTACCCACCCATGTAAAAATAATTTTAATCAGCAAATGAAGTTAAATTGTTGTGTTTCTCGTATACTAAGAGCATTCTTGCAATGTTTTAAGAACTCCTCCTAGTTCTTCTTTTTGTAGCTTTTGGGTTTTATTTGAAGAAGCTGTATTTATTTTGAAGGTCAGCTGTAGTGAGCACTTTCACAAACAGGATGGAAGGTAATTAGAGGTGTGCATTAAGAGTAAGGTTTGGATATGACTGTCAATTTTATGAATTCCTTCCTAATTCTCTTGATCAGTGATCAAATACAGAGGTTCCATTAGTGATGAAGAAATTGATGTAATGTTATATATGCATTGTTATAACTAGTTTGCTTTTTAATACTTCCCTTTTTTTGCTTTTAAATATTTCAGATTCCAGATGATTTGAGAAAAAAACTACGTATCGAAATACATTCAACAGTCCGAATTAAGTCAGTTGAATCTGTTCCTAAAATTCCTGTATCTCTCACACTGCATCCCAAACAGAACTTAGTGAGTTGATATTCTTGGTCACRTATTTGTTCATATATTGGAAAACTGTTAATGTTGCTGTGGTCAAATTGGGGAGGGTTATGTTTATTTGTTTGATTTGTTACATGATGATTTGGAAGTTGACTGTTGTTGACTATGGACATAATTCCAAAGGAATTTCTTTTTTGTATAATTCCTTGTTTGTTCTTTTTATTATGTAAGTTTAAGTTAATAGATTGCTATGATCTACTTAAACAGAGCTTATCTAGTGTTTGTCTTTTGAGCAACGTACTGTAAACATTCAGCCATTAAATTTTGGGTTGCTCTTGGTAGATAACTCCAAATAGTTAGGCATGTTAATTGTAATTATTTTCTATTTAAAGGAACTGATAGATGTCAGAGAAGATTGAGCTGTTGAATTTTGATTCGTTTCCTGATGCTGTTAAAGGATATAGCACCTTTAAATCATAGGGTTTTCCATTATTCTCGAATTGTGAGAATTTCTGATGTCTTTCTTATTAAACATTATGCTGACATGAAGGAGAAATGGCATTGGTAGGGAAAAGACAGATTTTTTGTTAAATTAGMTCTCAAATATAAAGAGTCACTGTCAAAATAGCAACAATAATCAACAGTTTTGCGTCAGACCTTCCATTTGAAGTACATTAATATGGGTTCAAACCTAGCAAATGGTAAGTGTATATATTTAAGCCTATTAAAACAAACACAAAAAAGAAAAAAGAATCATAGCATTAAGCAGTAAATATCCAAGTCTTCTGGGACTTCAATATTARGTCTTCTGGAAGAAGACATGCTTAAATTTTCCCAATGCTTCAATGTCCAGACAATTGTAGKGAACTTGGCATGACTTGTATGYGSTGGTTAGTTTTTTACTTTMTTTTTTCTTTTTTTCATGTTAAATATTTAATTTTTTAGAGTTATATCATTGAATCCCTCTGTTTTCCTGTAGGTGAGACATATTCTGAGTGAGCATCTGTGATRCTAGGGACATATTTAGTACCAGTTCTCCATCAGATGTATCTTTGGAATTATGTATTTCTTCATAATTTGTGTGATACTTTCTTTATACTATACACTGGCCTGATTATTTCCCATCTTAGCTCCCCCTCAAAACTTTAAATATAGCATTTACCATCATAACAAGGCTTAGGTGGGTTTGTTCTTGATCCCCAGTATTCTAACTTGGTTTCTTACCTACAGAAYTGCTTTATTTCTTTCTATATTGGAGATAAAAGAATTATTAGTTCGAATTGATGATCCTTGTCTCTTCTAACTCAGAAAATTCTTGATATTCTGGCAGTAATCTGCTAAAATCGTAAAAAAAACCCAATTATTTTGTTTTTGTATATTCTAAATACAAATTTCTCCTTTTCCTTTCTAATTCAGTAAAAGTTTTTTTTAGTTTTTAGAAAAAAGTCAGACAAATGCTTTAAAATGTTTGCAGTTTTTTTTCAATTTCCTTTCTAAACACTGCTTCCAGGATCTTCATTAATTCCTCCTTTTCTACATKGGAATTATGCATCCATGATTAGGAATTTAGCCAAGAGATATGGGATCTAGACTCAATTTCTTTTCCTATTCCATTTATCTAGGTGATCTGGAATAAGTTGCTTGGTCTCTGAAGTTTGTTGTTGATGCCCCTGAACTGGATGAGCACTGGATTCTTTTTATAGGAAAGGGTATCGGGAAGAGAGGAGTCTAGTGAGCACCTGAAATAAGTCATGGGTCRATATCGGCACATATGTTCAAACCCYGGGTCTGAGCAGTGCCCTTGGGTCTGGAGAGACATATAAGTAAAACAAAACCAAAAGCTTTTCCTTGCCTTCATGTCAGTGTTCCAAAGAAAAACTATTTAGAGGTAGTTTAATACTCAGCTGTGGCTGTAGCAGGGGCTACCTAGGTGCTGTCCTTAGAGCAGTTGGTAGAAATGGTGTTTATTGGCAAAATGCTGTTTTTTAAGTGAATAAAACTCTTACATCTTCTTTCATCTCTCTGCTGCCATAAGAGAAACCAATGCCTCATGCATAGGAAGAAAACATTTTTACTTATTAACACCTGGTTTTGTTTTATTTACCTCTTCCCTTTTCGTTATTTAGCATGAAGATATACGTGAAGATGATGTTAAATGTGCATTTAGTTCTTGGCTGCAGGATTCTACTCCTGATGATCACCCATGGCTAATGACAAGCACAGACTGCATACRTCTGTCTGTTAAAGAAGGCAAGGATAAACTGTCCTGTCTTTTATGGAATTTACTTAGACAGTRTACCACTGAATTTCTGTATAYRCCTTTTAACATAATTGATACCTCTRTACWCTGAAAGTGTAAGCTTGGTTTCCCTTTTCTTTCCATTAGAGTTACCTTTGAATAATTATTAAYCTTTTTTATTCTTTCATTTTGGATTATATTGTAGTAATATTCTAATCTATTTTATCTTGTGAGGAATGAAAACTGAATTTATTTGGAATTTAAATAGTTGTGCATTGTGTATTTACAGGAATGGAAGAGTTTGTCCTTACTGCAGCACATCCCATGGACACTGAAGAAAATAAGTCTGAGAATATTTTTATATTGAGTCCCAGTTTGCTGCAAAAGACAAATATACAAGTAAATATCACATAGTATCAGGTATCAARTAATTTAAATTGTTATACTAGTTTAAAATATATCGCATTTTGTGTATAACATTTCAGTTTCCGTTTAAAGTAAATAATGTGAGTCTATTTGTTAAATTATATCTTTATTCTTTATGTTATATTGTAGCTTAAGGCCCTGCTGGGATTCCAAGCATGCCATGTTTGTTACTAAGTTTCATAGTCCACATCAAACTCTCAGAGAGGAATGTCAGTACTAAGTTTGAACATCATTATGCTTACTTGTTATGTGTACCATCCCTATACTTCGTTGTTGTTTCCCTTGGTAACTACACCACTTCTCMRTGTATCTGGCAGAAACAGTAGCTTGTTCTGACAAAGATGAGACATATTTCCCATTCAAACCTACCACATTGACCCTGCCGTTTCTCTGATATAGTTTCTGTGCCTTCTATTTCTTCCATATTCCATTTCTTAGGAGAATAAATATTTCTGACCAATTATAGGATTACTGGTTCCATTAGTAATTCTGGTTGAACCAGTGCCCATGATTTCAGAATATAGTTACACAAGTAGGATAATGTTTGGGTTTTTTTTTTTTTTTTTTTTTTTAAACATACAGTGAAATTTTAATGGACAATTAAGGTGTTGTTTGGCTGTTCAGAATAGAATTTGTCTGCAAAATTTAGAATTGCTGTTAAGGAAAAAAGAGCTTCCTTTTGCTAGTAGTAAAGTACAAGAAGGCTTCTGGAAATTGTTCTAGTGACTGGTACTRAGATTAAAGAGCAAAATGCATTTCTTAATAGCAGTGTCAACATCTCCTAGTAGCGTGTTCTTACCTGTGAACCTCTGTAACCCYTGTTTGCCTGCCTAGCTCTCCATACTAGCTCCCTGGTGAACAAGATTGAAAAATTTATACCAGGTGTTTTGTCAAGTTACTTTTCTCCCAGTCAGATGCCTGACCTATTTTACCATTCTGCTTTATGAGCTCTCTTGCCAGCACAACAGGGGATGGCAAAGGAGAAGGAACAAGGTGCAGATAGGGAAAGAGGCAGTGGGCTGCACRATCTGGTATTAGCAACACTTGGCCCGCTATCTAATCTTACATTATTAAATCATTGTCAATACCAGATTGTATTTTGGAAGTAGCTGTATCCCATTTCACCTATGCACTTTTCTTTCAAGCACAGTARGCATCAGCAAAGCATAYATGCAGCATTTTCTTTTYACAATKCMAGAAATGGCYATAGTCACTTCATACCCTTTTTCTRTAGTTATATYTAATCTAATGTCCTTAYTCTCCTTTSTYGTAGGTTCTTTTACATCCTGTAAGTAGAAAAGCTGATGATGACAGCCAGCCACCTCTACCTTATAGAGACAAGAATCTTCCATACCACAAACTAAGCGATTTAGGGTGAGGCATTTTTCATAGAAAAAAACATAGGAGGGAATGGGAATGAGAATTAGAAAAAAAAATAACATTGGTGGAAATGCAGATTTTTTTAAAAACTATGCCTGATCTAAGCAAAACTCTGCATTATTTTGCTTGTGTCAGGTTCAGAGTTTATCCTAGTTCATGCAGATGGTTGATTTTGTCCTTGAATGGTCTTACTGCAGTGAATAGAAAACTTCATGTGTAGAAAGGTACTCATATACTGAAAATTTCAGCATGTTTTTCAGTGGGATGGAGGGTCTGAGAACTGAGACTGGCTCAGAATGGAAACTTAGAGTTTTAAAAGAAATACKGATAGTTTAGCAGTTCTTGCTGTTCTAAGCTGTGTGAACAGACTTCTGCATAGCAGCACAGGATAGTGGGGTGGTTTTAGCTGAGGTGCTCAAATGAAACAGAATTTATAAGTTGCAGTCTGCCAGTCCTTGTCGCCCAGTAACTTCAACCTCATTACTTTTTCAACTACATTTAATAGTAAGAATCTCAAAGAACTGTGGTCCCTAAAAGTTTCATCTGAATCATCAGCTGAGGAGAGAAATGGAGAGTGCTGTGGTCATCAATGCACGGGAAAACAGTGGTACTGTGTAGCAAATGTGAAGTAGGGATGGGGCAGAGGAGGCTTGAGAGGCTTGGAGTATTGTGATAGTGTGCTGTCAGTGCTGGGAAAGGCGACTGGAAAACTATCTGTCAGCGTTCTAATTTCCTCACAGTGCAACCTTTTACTGCCTACAGAGCGTGCACTGATGCTACCCTAGGCCATTTAACTTTTCCTTTACCCTACAGAGGGGTGGACAAATTAGGAACATCTTTGTTTGAACACGTAAGCCACAGTCTTCTGGGGCGTCCTTTATCTCAAAAGCTGGCTGCTATTGCTGTGGGACTGCGAAGTGGAGGGGTGCTTCTCACAGGAGGAAAGGTACACACTTCTGCTTTCACCTTGCAAACCCTTGCACGTTGTTTCCTATAGTTTCAAAATGGTTGGCATTAGTTTTCTTTGACACCAGGCAAGTTCCAAAGAATAAAGAACAGGCTGAAAAAAAGAGCAGTTAATGGAACAGAGGTAATTCAGTAAAACATCACTCACACACATCTTTTTATATATGTGTGCATGTTAAAGATTGTTACCAATGCCGTTTCAATAGGGGATTAATCTACTTTGTGTTTATATTATGATAAACATCTCTTGTCTTTGAAGTATTTGGATGAAAATAAGCACATATTTTTTCTTGTGTTCTAACATAAATGGCACTGGAGTTGATACTGTTATTTAATACCATATGTCACTGAACCTAGGAGATGTCTTAACATTGAACTCAGTGGAATCAGAACACTGTGGAAGTATCCACTGACTTTCTCTTTTTTTCACAACAGGGCTTTGGTCCCTACCAAGTGATACAGAGTCAGAATATGAATACTTTCACTGTAAAGTGAAAGTAAATACTTTCACTGAGGAGTAAATCCAGTGCGTGTACAGTTTCCCCAGCTTGTTGACTGGTGCATATTGTGATTAAAACACAGAAACACAAGGAATTGGCTCTGTTAATTTAATATAGCTCATGTTTATTTTTGTAGGGAAGTGGAAAGTCAACATTAGCAAAGGCCATCTGCAAAGAAGCTTTTGCTAGACTGGATGCTCATGTAGAAGTAATTGATTGTAAACCTTTAAGAGGTATGATAATAGTTTTCTTTAATCTCCAATGTTTGCTKTATGATAAAGAGGCACAGTTATGATGTTACTGTATTTGGTCTGAGTAATTTTTTTAGTTTTTGCAAGGATATTTGATGCCTCACAATTAATATCTTTACCAGTCTGATGAAAATACAACTGCTCCAAGTTTATGTCACACTTCCGTCACTTTCTGTCCCACATACCACCATGAAATTCAAACCATGCTGGCCATGCTTGTTTCTAATTGTTACAAAATAGGAAGAAGTTACAAAAGTTGATCTGTGAGTTTTTTTCAGCTGTGCTAGCTGAAACAGGTATTTTGTTAACAAACCATGGGTGTTAAAGGATACCTGTACTAAGTGAAAAGATGATACAGGCACCAAAGAAGGATTGAACAACCAACTGAAACTTGATCTATGGTGGCATGTTCACTAACGTAGTGTATTTGGCAATAATCCTCTAACACTTGTGATTATAGATGATGAGATGACTCCTTAGGTTTTGTGAGTTCAGAACAAGTATTTTGAGAACTAAATAGGCTTTTTTCTGCTCTTGCATTTTACTGGCTTCTCTAATATTCAGCTGTTTTCGTACAGAGCCCTTATATTGCCTCACTATGTTCTTTTTGCTTAATTCCCTACTTAAGCTGGAGCTCCTTGCACCAGAGAAAATGGGAAAGATTGATAATGAGCTTGGTCTTTAGCCCTGGAAAATTCTTCCAATTGCAGGATTCTTTAGTAGCTATTGTAGAGTGCTGCTGATACTTTTCTGGTTTTAACCGTCTGGAAATTAGACTTGCAGGCCTCTGTGGCAGCTTGTGAAAGATCATTAATCTCATTTTAGAACATGTGGAACCATCTAGTATTTTGTGATTGAAGATGTGTACTGATTGTTGACTCTGGTTTAATGTTGGTATCTGGATTTATAGATGTAAAGTTAAGACAGACAAAACATTGTGAGCAAGATGTAGTCAGTCTGATCTTTTTTCCTGATATTTTCTGTCATTCTAATAGTATTTTGTTTTAGGAAAAAGATTAGTAAACATAAGGAAAAATGTGGAAGAAGCTTTTTTAGAGGCAGCATGGAGACAACCATCCATTMTTTTGATGGATGATCTTGATCACATTGTCGGAGTACCTTCTACACCAGAGCATGAGAACAGCCCTGAAACTGTTCAGAGCAATAGACTTGCTTATGGTAATACTGTGCTATCTGTGTCTGGATAAAAATATAATGCAACTTAGAATTTTTGTGCCTGAGTTGTACTGTACTACCTGAACAATTCTGTCTGTATCATTACTGCCTCTGGATCATGTGATATTCAGGCAGAGATYCACAAATTATGTTATCTAGGCTGGACCACTAGCCAAATCAAAAGAAATCACTATGGATCTTGGAGTAGCCCTTGCCAATGTACTTCTGTTGCTGCTGCTGCTGGTACTGCCTGCTGCCAGTACCACTGCCAGTGCTTGAGGCTTCTCCATTCTTTTTTATTGTTCATACACTCAAATATATTGCAATTAATTACAAATTGCAATGTGATGAATTAAAGATGAATCTTTAGCTGATAATTATTGATACTTTTTTTCCCCCTGTGATTATTATTTATAATTACATTGAAACATCAATTTGATCCTTGCTGATGTTTAGAACCAACTTCTTTTAGATAAGTACCAATTTCTTTATCATCCTATTTGGTGTACATTATAGAACCTCTGTTTTCTTTTACAATGTAATAGTCCACAAATGTTAAAAATAAGATGATCAATTATAGCTTGACATCGTGTATATGGTTTCCTTTTATTACCAAAAGTCTAGGCAGTGATAAGTTGCAAATTAAAATTAAATCTAAATGATCAAGATAAAGCCTTAGCAAAAATACCTTCCATTTCTTAGTTTAGTTTGAKGGAGTTAGCATAATTTTTTCTGAATTATTTTTGAAGTTCAGAAAATCTTACTATAATTTTTTTGTTTAAAATGTGCTCTTAAGTTACCTGCAGAATTGTTTGGGTTTCTTACTGCTTTTATTTAAAGGTATAATGCATACAAYAGTGCTTTATAGTTTTAAGGATTATTTCTTAAAGATCTACCTTGCATCTTTAATTTTTTACTTTTATGTATTACTTTTTTCCTAGAGTGCTTATTTTCTGGACTTAAAATCTGTTTTTCTTCTGGTACTTTTTTGTTCTGATAACTTTCCCCTTTATGTTTGCATGGAGAGAGTAATAGCACAGAAAAGTAGACGTCATCAGTGATGTTACAAAATCAGCTTTTAAAAAACACTTCTGATRGCATTTGCTTAATGGAATGTACTGTCCTTTTCACTATACCTTGTTTTTCCTAGTTTAAAAAAAACTGTAAACGTGGGAATAAAAATACTGTATTACAATGGTCTTATATTTTGTGTGCACTAATGCTGCTCTCCAGGGTTAGGGTTATTTTTGTTGTTTTGCAATTCATGCAGCAATATCTTCTGTGTTTAGTTTTAAAAGATCTGATGAAAGAAGTTATTTCCATGGGGAGTTTGATTGCAKTAATTGCCACAAGCCAGTCTGAACATTCCCTTCATCCTTCCCTGGTTTCAGCACAAGGAACTCACATATTTCAATGCTTCAAATGTATCCAATCTCCAGATCAGGTAAATTCAAATAAAAATGGTTAAAATATTGTTTGCCTTCTCAGCAGCCTCAAATACAATGCTGGAACAGCTGCAAAAATAGTATGTTACACCCAAAGATGAGAAAAAATCTGGAAATCTTAGAAGTTCTTTCCTGATACTTAAATACCTCAGAACTGACATCTGTCATWATAAAGTTCTTAGAAAATAAAAGTAATCCAGTGAAAACTCCAGTTGGCTCCACCCTTCAGTAGTAAAAGAAAGRTGTATTCATAGGACATTTCAGTTCAGTGTGAAACAACTCAGGTGGTCTAACACGGTGAGATTTGCATGTCTCCTTATCTGTAAGAGAATGCTAAAGGGGCTGCTTTGTAAAAACAGGTAATCAAGTTAGATAAATGAAATTAAGCATAAATATGTTTTTTCACAGCTCACTGAAATAAGTATRTCCCTAGAACATGTATTTTAAAATCTTTATTAAAATTAAATGTTAATTTCATGGGAAATTTTTAGATTTGTTTCCTATATTAACACTATCCCTTTACTTTTGAACATAGTTYAGTTTGAAAAGAAAAATGGGTAGAGAGAATGAGCAGTATTAACTTTTGTGCAGGAGAAAGCAGATACTTTGATACCCTTGTTTCCTAATGATGCATTTGTATTTAATATGAGTTGTACCTGTGTGCATGTTGTCGGTCACAGGCCAGCAATTAAAAACCATTGAGGAGGGAATGCTGTGTGAGATACAGTTTAACTTTCTCCCACTTCCTGCAAGTCTGCTTTTATTGTTTTTAATACTAATAYTCAAGTAAAGGAGAGACATCGCTGGAAAAGTCAAGATCTCAAAAGATACGAAATTATCTGAAAAGTTTTTATCTAGCACAATGTATTTAATCTCAAAAACATATTTGCTACTCATATTGACAAAATGAAAGGTGGTTTCTTTCCTGTGTTTTGTTATTTAAAGATTTGATGTTATGMAAAAATTTAAGGCAATTTTAGTAAGTCATACCTATTTACTCTTTGAATTCCCAAACTCCATATAAATAGTAAACTCAGTACACACTTGCTGCACAATCCTATTTTTCAGAAGCAAAGATGTGAAATGCTGTATTCCATAATAAAGAAGAAATTGAATTCTGATCCAAAGGACTTCTCTGATCTTGACCTCCAATGTGTTGCAAAGGAAACAGAAGGTTTTGTTGCTAGAGATTTTACTATGCTGGTTGATCGTGCCATTCATAACTGTGCTTCTAACCAGAATGCATTGGATCATGGTGGTATGTTGACAACAAAATCTCTTATTTCATAGTCTTACTTCTGTTATCCAAAACTGGTGGAATAATGCAGAAATAAACCCAGTTTTGATATTTTATGTTTAAAATTTGTTTAATTGTTACATATTGTGAGGAATTTCTTACTGGCAGTCTGTGCATTTGGGTTTTCTCAGGATTTTTTTTTTTTTTTTGTTATAAAGCAGATCTGAACCTGTCTACTGTGGATTTTCAGAAAGCTCTAAAAGATTTTACTCCATTAGCTCTGAGAAATGTCAACCTTCATAAACCTAAAGATCTTGGCTGGGACAGGATTGGTGGCTTAAAAGATGTGAAGCAAATGCTCAGGGATACCATCATGTTACCTGCAAAGGTACTAAGTTCTTTTAAATTAGTTACTTGAATTTTGTACATAATGTTAATAAGGAATAATTATTTTTTGAAGTGTGGCACAATGTTTGATAGRAAGATGACAGGCATGATTTTAAGCTACTTTTGTAGCTTTCCAGTCTTCAACTGTCCCCAGATACTGGAATCTTTCTCCTTCCCTTTCTTTTTTCAAATACAGATGGCAATGACTGAACTTTACTGCTGATCAAGTGTTGCTCTACAATATTGGAGTATTGCCACACTTGGTTGCAGGGTTTGTGACTGGACTCTGTAAAGACAACATTTGCAGCTCTCTTCTGCAGTGCTTTTGCAAGAGGAGTATTTTCTTTTGGATGAATGTGAATCCATCAATCTCTGTTTTACTTTGGCCTTTCTGCCTTACATAAAACTTGAACAATGAGATGAGCCATTGAGCATTGAATCTTCAGAGAAATAACTGAAGAGTATATGAAATCATTCAGTGATTAAGATAGGAATTTAGATCTACCAGTATGGACAATATAAAGCTCTAGTCTATCCCTATTCTGTCCTGTTTCCTCTTGTTAGAAAATCCCACTTGTTTGTATTTTGGGTACCTATTAAACCTAGGAACCTAAYTCAGCCCCAGGTAAACTAAAAACAGTCCAGATAAGCTGTTGGGATAATATTAGGGCTATAATAAATTAGATGCATTCTGTTTAGACAAAAATCTTTACTAGTCATTGGCATAACAGTATRTTATAGAATCCTTACTTATTTTGGAATATTTCACATTGAAACTCTTTCCTAGTATCCAGAATTATTTGCAAGCYTGCCCATACGACAGAGATCAGGAGTTTTGCTGTATGGAGCACCTGGAACAGGAAAAACACTGTTGGCAGGAGTGGTTGCGAGAGAGAGTGGGATGAATTTCATCAGCATCAAGGTAGCAAGATTTTAAGATTAATTGATTCATTTTACTAACTGAATGAAATAACTTTACATAATAACTGAAACTACGTGCTTGTGAKGGCAAAATATTAAAGTAAGAAACTCACATTTACATTTTGCTTGTCTCTGGATAGCTTTCTGGATAGCTGATTTCTGGAACTTTACAGTTTTATTACTCAGATGTTTTATGTATATTCATTCATTAGGCAGAATTATAAAATTTAATTAGGTGATGTTAGTTTCTCTTTTTTTTTGTTATAAAACCCCAGATTTTGGTTCCACTGGACAATGAAGTTGACCAATGTATTTTAAACATTCTTAAAATACAGTGTAAACCTTTGCCTTGTGATACTGTAACACATGTTCTGTTGTGGTATAAAAGTGGAAATTTTTGCTTTTACACAAACTCTTGAACTCTTGGAACTCTTGGAACTCTTGAAAAATTCTTCTGGTTTATCTAGAGCCCTTGTCTCTTCTGTTCAGAGATGCCAGTGTCTTGGTTGCAGGAAAATTCAGTCCAGTACACAAAATATATGCTGATGTTGAATTAGACATTATAACTAAGAAACATGTCATGARTGGTTTTTTCGGATTATGTTTTTTTAGGGTCCAGAGCTGCTCAGCAAATACATTGGAGCAAGTGAACAAGCRGTTCGAGATATCTTTAACAGGTTTGGTTTGTAAAGATTTGTGATGTTATCAACTAGTTTTGTTGGTTGAAGCAGAAAGAAAAGATTTTGTCGTCTGATGAGAGATATGGTCTTTTTTCAGATCATTAAAGCATCTGAAATAATCAGTTGTGCTGAGCCAGATGAGTTTATTTTGGCAAGTTCAACCTGGCCATCATTGTTTAAGAACTGCACATTTTGGCTCYATCAGGAGTGTGCTTTTGAAGCTGGACTCCCAGTTCTCTCATCTACAGTCCATTCAGCTACAGTCCATTAATTCACATCACAGGACTGTCATGGAAAACACATCCTGAATTGTTTTCAGATGATTCCAGAAGACAGCTGACTGTACTCCAAGTAGTAATGCACATTCAAAACACAGGGTGGTATTAGGCTTGGTATTGAGGTCCTCAATGCCAGTAGTTCTCTTTTGCAAATCTGCTCTTACTGGCCCACAGTGCTCATTAATGTCAACATATCCTACACAGCCTTTGCTTCTCWTTGTAGCATGTAGGCAGCCTTTTTTTAGATTTATATAAGCCAAGACCTCATCTGCAATGATTGGATTTTAGAGCTTTCATGTATATTAATATGACAGTCTAGCACTTCAGAATAAAATGAGTCCAAAGTATGAGCAGTGATTGTATTGCAATCCAGTTCTCCAGAACCTCATAAATTCTACAGAAAACAGATTTTCTGTTGTCATTAAATACAACTGTTCTCTGAAGCAAAAAGCAATTTTTAATATTTCTAAATATTTTTTAATATTTCTAAATATTATTTATTTCTTAACAATTGTACCTGTGAATGAAACATAAACAGACTATAAGTATTGCTTTTCTTTTTTTCCCTTTTAGAGCTCAGGCAGCTAAGCCTTGTATTGTTTTCTTTGATGAGTTTGATTCTATTGCTCCTCGCCGAGGTCAYGACAACACAGGAGTCACCGACCGAGTGGTTAATCAGCTGTTGACTCAGTTAGATGGTGTGGAAGGCTTGCAAGGTATCAATTCACCTGTGTGCTCCCTTTTTTACAGAAGTTTAGCAGATGTTAATGGCATTTTTCTGCCCTTTCCTAAGGGGTTTATGTGCTAGCTGCTACCAGTCGCCCGGATTTGATTGACCCTGCTTTGTTAAGGCCAGGTCGACTGGATAAGTGCCTGTACTGTCCACCTCCTGATCAGGTGAGGAAACAAGTAATTTCACATGAGAGGCAAGGGAAGAATCAAACTAATGGGCTTTATTCTCCTTTTCTTTATGTGTAGTGGCATTTCAAACCTGGAAAAAGTGGACTTGATTGCCCAGCTCCAATTAYACAGCAGTATAAAGTCACTGATTTTAATGTCACATTAAACTGGGGAAAGAAAATACTGTTTATCACAGTCTTCAGGATCAAGTCATATCCTGTGGATCTAGCTGATTTTAAATTAAAAATCTAAASAGGAAATTAATCTGCAGAAATAAATTGGATCCAATGCAATGTGTATAATGTTCTCCATCTTTCTTCAAACTATRGGTCTAGTGGATATGCCATTTGCTTAAACCATAGCCAGTCCTTTGAGGCTGTACAATGATCTTTGATTCCCCATTTTATGAGAAAAGATGAGCACTGTTCGTTTTCAGATTAGTTCACACATTTAAGAAATTCCACATAATTTCATTCTGAAACCAATGTGATGACCTGTGCCTTAAGAGCATAGATATACTCTTTTCTTTTTTCCTTTTTTTTCTATTTTAAACTTCTAGTTTAGAGTAAGATCATCCAGGTCAACAGAAGTTTTTTACATCCATCATACATCTCTTTATGAAGGGACATATGTGGAGCAGGACTCACCTTCATTATTTTTATGTATTTCATATATAAAAATCCCAGATAATGACTGGGTATATTAGAGAAATCTACTCTCTGTATACTGCATTTAGTTAGGGTAGTATCTTCTTAAAAAAGAGGTTTCCTCCCTCAGAGAGCAAGTGACTGGTGATAGGGACAAAGCACCATCCTAACAATCAGGACAAGAAAAATAACAGGTTGGTTTACTGACTTYTTTTCTCCTTTTTTACAGAATTCACGCTATGAAATCTTAAAGGCTCTCAGTCATTCCCTATCGTTGGCAAACGATGTGGACTTTCAGGATTTGGCAGCAAAAACAGAACAGTTCACAGGAGCTGACCTRAAAGCTTTGCTATACAATGCCCAATTAGAGGCAATCCATACTAATTTAAATTTAAGTTTAACACAGGTAAATAAAAGATATAAAAGAAGTCTCTCCTCYTTGTTTTTATGTTCATATATTTGAAAGGGTTAATTGCATCCATGGGGTTTTTTTCCAGCAAAATTTTGTTTTCTTATATTTTTATACAGAGGATTAATGTTTTAATATGTTTGCAGAAAAATACAATAATAATGTAACAAATTGGTTTAAATACTTCTTAAACACAAGATTTTTCTCACTTCATGATAGGTGTTTGTCGTTAAATAGATAAATGTAAATCCAAATGAGATTGATCSTTACAGTTGAGAGGACCAACCAACAGATTGATAGGAGGGATCCCACACAAAGTTTCTTTGGAGCAGACAGCAAATTCAGTTTTGAGTTGGCACATTTTGGATGATGGAGGRAATGAGAAATTGGTGGGTTTTTGGGATTCATTCCAACAGATTGGGTTTGATTGAGGTCAGGAGAGAAGTAGCAAGAGGATGGCAATATCTGAAATGGCCGGCTCTGGTTCATCTTCCAGGCACCAGTTTCTACTTGAACTTCCAAAATACAGGAGCCCACTCTTGGTTTGTGCCCTTCATGTGGCTGACAAATCCTTCCTCTTTTAGCCTCTGTTCAGCCACCTCTCTTCACATTTTTAATGCCTGTCCTCTGGTTCTATCTGGAAAGGGTCAGGTATGGCTTCCCCTACTCGGAGGCCAAAGGGCCAGGGGTCAGGGGTGCAAGTCAAGGGGAGGCTGTTGAATTCTTTTTGCCCCAGCTGTYACCAAGGAATTGRGGTCTGAGGATGCTACTCTTGKTATTGAGAGGGATCTCCAGCATGYCTTCCCTAACATTCTGTGCATTTGTAGCATCAGTAAGTTGTTGCTACCTCATGATTATCCAGCATAGGAAGAGGTGCTTGTCTGAAGCAGTGGCCTCTAGAATGGTGTGCACACACCAGAGAGAGCACAAAGCAGTCCATTGATATGCAGGAAGAAAATATTAGAACTTCARTGGTACATGTGTATAACTTACAAAGATGCATTTGCCTGGTAGAGTGTGCTCAGAAATTTTTGACTATCGAGGTGTACAATTAAAGAAGTTTGCAGGYCCCAGTCTAAAGCAACAATACTCCTTTCCACATCAGCATTTAAAATGTGCTGTCTATGACTGAGTACAGCAATTAGGCACTATAAAAGTAGACTTCAGTTCTCCTAGAGCCTTTCACCCAAGAAAATAATTTGCTTGGAGGGTAAGGTTGAGACAGAAGTGGTACAGTTCTACAACACAACAYATATATTAAGTTTCCCAACAGTTGCTACTACTTGAGAGTGTGAGAGAGTGAAAACAATAAAATTATCTCCTGAAATTATTTTTCTAGCATGAAGACAGAAAGTTCTGCTTGAAGGTATTGGATTTTAGCAAAATATTTGGAAATACAGAAGGAAATTACTACTAGAGTCAAATTGATACTCTTTTGCACTGTATATGAAATCTTTTCATGTATTTTAGATTGTTTTTGTTATGAGTTAACTCTGGTAATGTTCTTTTTTACAGGATTTTGGATCTAGTTCTGATAGTGACTTCAGTCTCTCTTCCATGGTTTTTCTAAACCACAGCAGTGGCTCAGACGATTCAGCAATAGATGGAGAAGCAGGGTTAGAGCAATCTCTTATTTCTTTAGACATTTCTGACTTGCTTCCTGAAGATCCAAGGTCTAACATGTATCGTATTTATTTCGGAAGCTCTTATGAGTCAGAGCTGGGAAATGGAACTCCTTCAGAACTGGTAAATTACTTAGTGTTTTGAATTTTCTAAATATTATTAGTTGAGAAGCAGAAAACCCATACCATTTGCCTGGTTCAGTTTATGAATACAATTATGTTTGCTTTGACCTTCAAACTGTCTTCACATTATACTTAGTAGTCCATGTGGGGAAGGGGGTGGAAGGATGTGATCTGAGAAAATATAATATGGACTCCTCTGCAACCTTGCAGGACGTTAAAATCAAAATCCCAGRATACTGCTTAATACCTTGTAATTAAGCAAAATGCATTCATACTAGATTTTACTCTCTGATTAAATGACTTTTTCCCTTCCAGTATTTAACACTAAAACAGTTTTCGACTTTTTGGTGGTTTGTTTGTTGTTTTTTCTTTAACTTAGTTTTATTTCTAAAGAATGACCATCCAGCTTTCAAGAATTAAGTTATRATCTCAAGAATCAATGAGAGTTTCCAATATATGTACTAACAGAATAATCAGACCRTATAATTRTGTAAAGAACCGRCCTAAGTCTTAACTTCCATCAYTGTCCTTAAGAATCATAATTCCTGATGTTGTAGTATCATGGTGCACAGAAAGCATGTTCTCTGGCCAGTTTGCAGGTAGGGATGTGCAGGTTGGCTGCCCAACACCTGCACAGTGATCAGCTCCCCTCTTGGCTCACTGGTCAACAGAACAGGATATGCTGCCTCTGAGCTCCTTACAGTGAATGGATGATTTCAGATTTGAGTGTGATCCATGGGAAATTCATTTTCAAAATCAGTTGTAGAACTGTTACTACAAGCAGTAATCCAATTTCGTAGACTCTTGTTTGCAAAACTGTCTTGCATTGATTCTTAAAGCCAAGAATAACTTACCTTGACAACTSGAGAAGCAATTGCTGACTGCTAAGGTACTCTGGTATATTTTMTCTTGCTTTATGGATGATATAGTATATCTTTAGAGACTTAGTTTTCTGTGAAAATTCTTCAGCAAAGATTCTACAAGGACTTTGATCTCTCAAAGTTGTTGAATTTGAAAGGTGTGTATTTCATCAAGTGCATAGAGGATTTGGAGGTGATGAATATTTAAATTCCAAAGCTAACTRCATAAACTGGCCCAGATTTCAGAACCACTGATTTTCATAAGTAACTAAAGCGATAGACTTAGAARACCTTTGTTCTTTCTGAGATGGGCCACTGTGAAAATACTTAGATACTTACCGGACATGAAACACTTCATTTTCAAATTTGGTCTTTTGCCCAAAAACYTTGGCATATTAATCTAAATATTTCTGTTCAAAAAAATTATGTATGTAATGTACTTTAAAGAGAGAGTACTCTTTTTGGCAGTGCAGGCAAGCTTACCTTGAATGGTAGGCTAATTCCTAATGACAGAGTTGCTCTTGAATCCATAATGAGTTAATGTATTTTTCCTTTTGATCAATTTAGAGCTCTCTGTGTTTGTCCGGTCCAAACTCCATGAGTTACGACTTTACCAGCATTACTCAGAGAGATGTTGCATCCTCACAACCTGCAATGCTTAGAGCAGCTTCTCAAGAAGGCTCCCTGGAGAACCAGGAGCAGCAAGCAGAGCACCTGAAGACAGAAATGAAGGCCAATTACAGAAGCAAGAATGGRGTATGGCACTTTTTAAATTTTTTATTTAGTCTTAGCCCTTCTCTGTTGTTTTTCCACAGTTCTTGGTGTTTCAATAATTAATTTCTGCAATAATATTAARTATTATGTAACAAAAATAGCACAGATAAGTGATACTTAGTTTGAGGAAAGTAAGCCAGAAGTTARCATTCATATGKTTAAACAGTTATTTCTGTTACTTAYTAATACGGAGTGGGGGAAGTTGTGGCTGCATCTATAATAGTCTGTACATGTAATAAGGACATTCCATAGTTAATGATACTGATGACATTATGCTTCTGTAGAAATTTTTCATGGTCTGTTCATTACTCTCTTTTCAAGGAGGACAGCACCCTTAATCAGTCAGTGCTTCCCAAGACCACYTTAACTATTACCCAGTCTCATCTGATGACTGCTCTTCAGGGTATGAGACCGTCCATTACTCAGGAGGACTGGAAGCATTTTACTGAACTGTAAGTTTGGGGGTTTCAATTTTGAATTCAGTGGAGATTTGGTCTTACTCCTTAGACCACAGAAACACAATAGTTTTAAATCAATGTGGAGACTGGCAGCAGATAAGTGATAGCTTCTGACAGCAGCTTTTTAAGAAATACTAAGTTACATAGTGGGAAAGGGAAACTATTTTACCAATGAATTGTCTTCTCATTCATATAGGACCTAGAAATAACAGACCAAAATCACCTTGTATTATGTTAAGAGCTATACCAGTACAAAGAGGCTCTGTAAGTTTTAGAGCTAGGTCCTCTCTGCTCCCACTTAGTAGTAGCCCCTTCTATTTTGAAATTGCTGGAGTTTGACCCTTTGTAGTGGTTTTTSTGGGCTCATGTTTCAGAAAGGCAATAATCTGTAGAAGAGTAAACATGCCGAAAAGGATAATGTGTCTCCTTGGAGATCAAAAGGCAGGAGGAAAAGGGTACAGGGCAGAGAGCTCTCTGAGATAGATTTGTAAGTGAAATTTATCAGTGGAAACTCATCCAGGTACCCAGGTCTGAGGAGACAGGTACTCTTCATTTCCATAGAAATATATTTAAAGATCTGTAGTTCTGTGGTGCATTGATAAACATCTGAAGAGGCAAACACAAAAAATACATTTCATAAGAATTTGCTAATGTCTTTTTTTGTTTCCAGGTATGATAATTTTCAGAGTCCCAAGAAGAGGAAAGTACAGATTGGCTCAACATTGAAACCAGGACAAAAAATGACTCTAGCTTAGTAACTTGCAACTCTTGCTTGAAATTGCTAAGGTGTAACTGGAAATGACAAATGTAATTAAATCAGTTTATTTATATTCATATGGATTTAATGATGCAACAGTTGAAGAAAAGTTTCTTTTAAACTTACATGCTATAAAATTGTGTCACATTTTATTTTGAAGAAAATTGTCTTYCTTTAGATTGATATTAAATTTTTTGTGAGAACATCAGTTATGTTCTGTTCATTTGTTTATCRTATTTTATCTTTTAAATTTTGGTTTTTATCAATTTGGTTGCCAAAATCTCACAATGAGTTCTTGTCTCTGTTCACTCCCTCACTACAAATAGTCTGTTCAAATAAACTGTAATATTAATGGGGGATATGTTTTTTTAAAAATTCTATAAAGCATTCTCTAATGGCCTTTAGAGGGCTTAGAGGAGGATGGTATGTCATGTGTATATTGGTAGGTAACTGGACTAATACTTCCAGAATATACTTTTCCAGCTATAGCAGGATAAACCAGACCAAGATAATTGTATCTTGTTTTCTGCCACCGTGTGTTAATCAGAAGAATACCAAATTGCATTTCACAACAACTGCACCTTCTCATCCCTACTTTTTCTTCTTGGAGTCTGTTAAAACATTTTGGATGCTTGGGAGCTTTCTAATGTTACATCCTGAAATTATTCACAACTGTTGTCTTTCATGGGGATGTTAAAGAATTGTCTCTTCCTCAACTGATACATAGATAACTAGGTCTTAACAGGAGGAGGGGGAAAGGAAGAGGAGGCAGGAAAGAAAACTAGAGCTGTTTCCTATGAGTCTGTGTGACCATTTAACAGCATTTTGCTTTCACTTCAAAATAATCTTCRTCTCTAACCCTAGGAAATACTATATTATCTTCAGTTCAAATACTTACATTTGAAACTTCAGCCCAGTTTATTTCATTGATTAGATCCTGTATACCAATAGGACCTTTTCACTTTTTCACCTCCTGGCTTAGCAATTTTTCAGTCATAGGTTCTTTTCTACACTCAGCACTTCTATAAGAAGGTGATCTTCTAGCTCTGTCCTTGTCAAAATTGTTTAAAAAACATTGTGGTTTATTACATCCTTCCTGCTTCTTCAACTATTACAAAGAAATCTTCAACTATTACAAAGCATCCAGATTAGCCAAAATTAGCAGCAGCATCTGTTCTTCGACTTAAGTTTAGATAATGGTTGTACCAAGTTCATTAAAAATGGAAATATTTAAYCTTGCTAGTACTGATAATTTCATAATGCACTGATACTTAAATCTGAAAGGACCAGTTACAGGCTAATCATGATGGTAACAAAGACAATTCCATAGAAGTAGGTCAGTGAATAACTATCTGCTGTGAGTGATCTTGGTTACATTCTGAATTATACTGACATCTTACCTTGAAAGGTAGAAGAGAATGTAAACGAAGCCTAGCTGAGATCTGTGACAGACCTGAGTCCCATATACAAGGAGCTTAAAGCCTGTACCTCAGAGGAAGATAATCCGTTCTATTCAAGTGTTGTGCAGCAACCATCAACTGGGCTGTGGAGGCTCTGTCACAAGGCCTGGTAGGAAGAAGTACTCCRAGAGAGAAAAGGGACTGATGACATTGGTTTCACATTCTGTAGGGCAGTAGGATTTAGCTGCAGTGGCTCATGATGCTACCACAGGCAGACAAACAATGCATGTCATGTTTGAACCTGTTCTCTAGTCTCCTCCATTAAGTCAAGAATTAATCTCTACGAACAAGCAGCCTAAAGATAAAAAAATCCTGTGCCTCCCTACTAGTTCATCTGTTACTGCTACCTGACTTAAGGGGTAATGATGTCAATTCTGAGTGTATATTATGGCCCTTATAACGATTTGATAACCTGGAATAGCTGTTTTCTTTCTCTTCTGTTGTCAGCAAYGTCACCAGCTGTCACTGATATTTCTTCAATTGCCTACCAGTCTTTCCCTGTAGTTGAGGGACTTCTGAAGAAACAAGTGTTAAGTATAAATTATGTAAACACTAATCCTGTTTCCAGTGTGCAAGGTATAATTTCAATTTGTTAATAGGAGCTTAGTTTCCACTACTATCCAATAATTTTTCTTAAAATTGATTTTATATTTTAAGCTATCTTCTTTCAGCTGGTTAGTTGGTATTTTTTTCAAGCAATGCTTTGGGAGAATGTACCTGTTTTGAAATTATCTGCCATTCTGAACTGAGTGCTGACTGGAAAGAGTTTCCAGGGGGGAAAAAAAAAGTGAGATAGCCGGTCAATTCTATTAAATCCTGGTTTAATTGGTRCAATTAACTCTACTGAGAGGCTTGTATGTTTGAATGTAATTCCTAATTATGAAAATCTTACAGACTTGCTTTTCCAAGAACTGGGGACATTGGGGCACATCAAATCCCCTCCAGTGTGTTGGGTCCTTTTACTGTTAGTCCGCTGTAAATTACATTTATTCTTTAGAAAACAGTATTTCTGGTGTATAGTAAAAATTTCACAGGGTGATTGATTGTCTAACTTCATAAGGAATCAAACTTTGTTCCATTTTCAAAGGAAAAAAGTGGAAAAGAYTTCCTAACCCATTTGAAATTAACTTAAAAGATAAGCAACTTCTACTGAGGCTTAAATTACCGTTACAGATGTCACCAGCTAGAACTCTGCTTGACAATATTTTAAGCAATACAGTTAACAACCTGGTTAAAATATGTGAATTTTAACATTGATATTAGTTTTGAAATGTACTTCAACTTTTAGTTCACCAAACAAGCCTAAATTTTATGCRAACTGTCTTCATTTAATGTCATACAGGAAATTTCCCCATTCCTCTCCTGTGGCATTAAAGAAACTTAGTTTCTCCAACCTAAAAGCAAACAAATCTTTTAAAATGTAATTTCAAAACAAAAGCATTGTATAAACTTGATTTTTCCACTGGCTATTTTACTCAAATTATCTGTGCGTATGTATATATATATATTATTAAAAGATATTATTGATTTTTTAATCTTACTGATATAATTTGACTTCTTGCCTATTTCATTTAACAACTCCTAGTTTTTGTGAAAGCAGTAAAATCCATGCTTGCTATATCATTGCATGAGGATCTAACTATTTATTATTTATTATTTATTAGCTCCTAAGATCATGTAGCAGGCTGGGACTGAAGCCTACTTTCTAAGAAGTTAAGGTAACAATCATAAACCCATAAGCAGTGGAGGAACTTTGARCAAACCCAGAAGCAGAACAGAGTTTCTTGCATGAGTTCAGCAGATATTKGCAGAGTTAATCCTGTGGAATGAAGCTGGGAGACTGGATTACAATTTGCCAGTGTCAGTTGTCAGGTAAGGATTCAACTGTCTCTCACAGGCATAATTTGGGAATAACTCATTTACAGCCACCACTTGAGAATTTGGCTTTAAGATTCGATTGCTTTCATTTTCCCATTTCTAAAACAGCCCAAACAGTAACAATCTGTCATAGGCACAATGAAATGGAAATCTGTTGACTAAGGTTTAGCCTGCTGTWGCAGTGATGCAGCAAAGACATCCAGAATTAAATACTTTAAGATGCTCAGGCAGTAGCTGGCGAAGAAATGCTAAATCAGTTTACTGGCATTCAGGTTGCAAGTGTAAGTCAGATTAACAGGAAAAAAGAGAGGGGAAAAGTAATCCTCTCTATCCTCTAGCAGCTGGCAAGGCTTTTGTAAGACTTCTATGTATGTGGCCTTCCTGTAATGTCCTACAGCAGCAGAGTCATGTCGGCTGCTGTTAGGTACCCAGGGCAAAATTTGCATTTCTCAGTAGTGCTGTCCCACACTAGCCTCCAAAAGTCTTTAATAGTTTGAATTAGTTAAATGATTAATGRTTTAGTGAAGTCCAGTATCTCAGGGGCAAAGTCAGTCTGGGACTCCTAGGTGCAAAAAGATGAGTTCTTTCTTCATTGTTTACAAAAAAAACCAGCTCTTAGGATTCTGCAGTAATGGTTATTACCCTATGTAGGCACAGTTACAGGACAGTATGGATCTTGTGGAGACCCAATGGATAAGTGGATATTGACACTGGATTTTGGTACATTGAAAATTATTAAGGTCATGCTGGTGTTGGGCAATTTTCCTTATTTCCAGAGATAGCAATTTTGTAAAATAAGAAGCAAAGAATAAAACCAAAAATGTGTGGAACCACCCACAAAATGCTGTCARTGCCAAATTATATAAGTCCAGCATTAGCAACAGGAGGATTAAAACCATCCACATGATTTTATGCTCTTTTTCTATAAGATAATTGGAAGATAATTGGGTCCTTCGGATGAACTAGTTATAGATTCAGTGCTAATCTCCATTTTTTAAATTATTGCCAAGTTTCAAGAAACAGTAATAAGATTATTTCTTAATAATATGTATTACTTTAATACAATGCTTGTATGTTGTCAAAGCACTATTGAAGTAATTTTATAACTGGAGCATCGTGACCTTGTTTAGATACGAAAAGGCTACAATAGGAGCTATTTGGTGGTTTACTACTTTAGTGTTTGCCAAGAATTAACCCTTGCCCATTTTCTAATGACCTACCTTCCAGTGGTTAAAAACCTGCTCATTTTCTAAATGTCTAAAAGACTTACTATTTTTAAAAGAWAAAAATGTCCTTCATTAAGGACAGGTTTAAAACACAGATGTAGGAAAAAACCCACTTGAAGTCAACATATTGAACCTTGTTTTTTYGACAGATCCTGGGAAAAAAACGGGTCTTGGCTTCCCTCACATCATCATCTGCCTSTACACTGACTCCAGCCCTTCTTCCCATGTTTAGGTGATTGGGTATCATTGTCTTTCCCCAGCAACTGTCCAGCATTGCAGGTCCTGCTGGCTGAGCCATGTCTTGGAGAAGGCAGTGGGTATAAGGCGGAACTCTTACAGTGGGGAGCAGGCAGAATGCTGGGGTGACATGAGACACACRGGGGTTGTTCCTCTCTGTCCATTAGGGATGCAGGGCCCCCGTACCATGGAGGACAAGGAAGAGTCCATCTGTCCTAAGGGGCCATGGTTGGGAGCCACTGCAGAGCTTTCCTGGCATGTTCYTCCTTCTCTGAGCAGCTGGCATGGGCAACAGGCAGAGGGAGAAATGCTTATGAGAAATGTTAATATCATTTCTTAGTGGTTTTAGTGGATGTCTTATTCCAGCTCCCTATTATGGTGATATGAATTTCAAAACAGGCTGTATGGGGGAATAYAGCCTCTTCACAGTGAGATGGAGCTTGAGCCATTCACATACATTAACAGACATTTACAGACATCAAAAAAAAACCTCAAAGTGCAAACCAAGGCCAAGGGAAGACATGGGACCTCTGTAGTACTTTCTTGAGCCAGCCCATGATTTTCTCAGACTGCGGAGTGACAGGAGGGTGGTGTCATCAAGTATGTAGGATTGCACTCGGTTCTCTGCAGACACTGTTCTGCACTGACATTTGTCAGTTCTGAGTCTGTCATACTATGAGTAAATTTGGTTTGCAAATCTTTCCCCTCAAGCACTGCAAGATGTATCTGCCACATAAGTTGCGTAACATTAGTTATCTCTTTGAAAATTCAATCTTTTTATTCGTGCTGATATTTTTTCTTCTGTAGGTGACTGATGAAGAAAGTCACCCTTTCCAGTTAACAGTTGAAAAATTAAAAGCTGCCTTACAAAAACTAAAARGCAGGTATCAATAAGACTGATAGCAGATTTTCATGTTTTCCATATTATTTTGTCAGCAGCGTATGTTCTCAGCAGTGAAGCACTTGTACGGTTTCATCTCTGCAGATTTTCAGTCTTGTGACTCAGGTGGGTCTGACTCTGGCAACAACAGCTGATTTTATAATTTGGGCACTGTAACAAAATGCAGAGAAAGTCCCTGGCTGTATTTTATGAAGAACAGTTCTTGTTTTTCATGACCAAGTTTCTTTCTCTGTAGGTTGTAATGGAACTCAAAGTGCTGTAAACAAGATGTTGTTCTGACCCTCAGAAGAGAGAATATGCTACTGTAACAACCTACTCAGATCATTAAAGAAACATGTCATGTGATTTTGAAGAGAGTTCCTCTTAGTTACATCTAACAAGAAAATGTCAATAAAAAAAATTGAAGTATAATTTTTCCAGAGTTTAAGAAACTTCATTAGTTCACAACAACATGATCTGTGATTCTATTCTGATTGGGACTGCGTAACTGAGGATGTTATTTCTTGACACATCCAATTTTTTTCCACGTTCTTCTCTGCACTTTAAACTGCTCTTCTTCCCTGCAGAAATGTTTAGTTTTGTGAATGTCCACAAAATAGTGTTTGCTAATATTTCAGGCTAAAATGTTTCCTAATTTTATTGTCTTGATATTCTTAATCTGTGCACTTGATGGAAAATTATAAATGCACTCACAGCTGTTTGTGAAAGATCCAATAGTGGCAGCACAGACAAAACAGTAAAACATGTACCAAAAATGTGTTGATGGATGGTGGTGATGTTTCAAAACATGAAGCAACATAGACTTGTGTCCTCTTCCAAGACAGAAAAAGAAGGTTTACAATAGATACGATTATATTGTTACAAGGAAGGTCACTTTAAAAGCTCAGTTTCAAGGTGATGTATAAAAAGTGGGTATTTTGGATACACACAAATGTGAGCATAGCTTTTTTTTAGCTATATTGAAGCTGTCCTAATGATTTAATTGCTTGATCAGTRTGGTGCCGGTGTTTAGACACCGTCTGTGCCTTTGTCAGACCGTGGGAGCCTGAGCACTCAGACCCTTCCCATGTGATCCCAGCAGAGGGAGGCAGCTGGAATCCCTGCTGTCACTGTGGCTGTCGGGATGGATCACAAAACAAATTAACTCTTTAGAGATCTCCATGTGTTTTTCAGCWTTCTAGAGCTGAAAATGTTCGCATTAATAATATTACAGATATGTTCTTTGGGTCTATGTAATATCATAAATAGCTGGAGGAAATAGACTAGAAAAGCAATTGAGAAACTGCCATGCCACAGCAGCTGATTCTGTCAAAAATAAATAATGCCTCAGTCCCCATTTTCTGCTTCGGATACGTCAGAGGTCACATACACTAAATATGATCTTGTGCAAGGAGTGCTGTGGAACAGCTGTTTGTGACATCATCTTTTTTTAATGTTATCTTTTTTCAGGTATTTTCTTCCTGTGGTCACAATCAAAGGCTTAAAGTTCACTGCTTGTGAAGGTCTTGCTCAMAGTACCCATTAACATTCAAAGAGATTGCACATGCCAGGGAAAGTAAATATCATGGCGTCCTCATCAGTGAACTTTTACTTCCTGGAATTCCTTAGGAGTTGTCTTTGCAAATAATGYCATTTGTAGGAATCTTGGGTGGAATGAGAATTTGCAGTGGGTGAGGTTTTCTAAACGTTAAAAATAATGAAACAAAACATAATTACTTAATTTCAAGTTTATCCCAAGCATGAAGTTATATGGCAACTCTTCACGTTGGAACGTTTGAAGTCTTCAAAGCTTGTGCTATAGCTGTGCACATTACAATATATTATGGACTGTATATTTTAATTAGAATACTGAAAATACTGAATCAGGTCATTTGCAAATTTTGCTGAACTTTTGTAGCTGGCAAAATAATTTGTATATTCATRAGCTCTGTCTAAACATATACATCTCTCAAACATTTTATACACCTTTTTGTATATGCATGCTGAGTGCTTTCTGAGGATGTATTTATTTTTGGCTTCTGGGGCTCCTTTCAGATTATTTTTGTGTGCTTGTATTCACTGGATAGCATTTTCATACATTAACTATAAAAAACCCTTTGAGATCTGTAATGTGTACTTAATTGATAGAAATATATGCTGGACTAGAAAGCCTACCAAGGGAAGCAATGCAATATGTGTCCCTGTCATTATCCCACAGTATTTGTTTCTATGTGTAGTCTTATATGGATAAGTTAAGTTCCAACATACCCTTTCCACTTMTCTCACCAAGGCAACTAAGCCATAGTCAGGCTCTGCAAACTCTGCAGGCAGAACTGGTTGCCTTTGGTTTTGCTTTGGCCAACAATGAATGCCAAAGCTACTTCCATTTCCTCCACAGTTTGAAATCAGCTTCTCATGACGAAAAGACAAGTTTTTTACCTTGCCTAGCAGTGGTCTGTTATGACACTGTTCAGAAAAAGAGCCCTAAGAGTTCTCTAAGAAACTCCTTGAGGAGAGGTAACCAGAAAATTCTGTGTGGAATCCCACAATTTAGGAAACAGATACTTGGGAAGGGCACACTGATTAAAATGACAGGTTACTCTAATTCTTAATGGCCTACTGAAAGCTAGCCTTGGGACAGAAGAGATTCCMAAATTCTGCTTACATAATTCTGATTCACTGCCACAAGCAGCCTTACAATGTAATTTTACAAAAAAGTAACCTAATTGGAAAGAAAGGGGACATYGATTGTGTAGGATACTACATGCACTGAAAAGGATTATCAAGGGCTTGACCTTATGAAGACAAAAACAAGCATTTTTACTGAAGCCCCCTAGAAGAACATTTGTGTTAAGAAAAAAATACCACATGTGTGTTGAACCTGGATCAGTCGACAGAGCCAGTTTACAACAAGGCACATTACACTGACAAAGGCAGAGAGGTGTGATGGTCTTCAGCAAAGAACTGGACACAAGGACACTGGACACAGATCGAATGTCAGAGGACAGGTGGAACTACTGAAAGCAACTTTGCCCCTAGACTGCTTCATGAACACTCTTGCTTTGTTCTTCCTGAATGAAGGAGTTCAGAAGATTTCCCATGGGCCCAAATTGCCATATGTAAGCAGATGCCTGGGTTTACTGTTCTGAGTCCAAATGCCCAACATGGGATAATCTAAGTATTTTCCGGTTAAAACAATCTTTCTATTAAAACTAGATTCCAATAATACTTCTGTTTCATTAAACAGACATTGAAGCACTTAAGCATTTCACAAAGATGCATTAACCACCTGGAGATATTGTCCATGAAGTTGTTCTTGTGATTGAAACTACCAAACTAGAAAAGGAAAATAACCTCACTGAAGCTGTAAGCCAAATTCAAGAATAACAAATTACCAACTAGAAGGGCTAGTTAAAAAAAAAAAAAAACAAACAAAAAAAAACCCAATGCAATCTTCCTGAAGGTAAGTGTGACTGTGTGGGTGAAAGAGAAACAATTGCCAAATACAAAATTCTGTTGTCAACGATCACAAGATTCTGCAGTGGGGAGCACACAAAAAGAACTGTAAGCAACTACTAACTATTGTGAAAGTATTTCTGCTCGGGAACACAATGCTCATCTTGCATAATTTTGGAGGGATGTACTCTCCTATCTAACAGATGTACCAATTTTATCCGAGTGAAAATAGAATTAAAATTTACTTGTCTTCCTAATTCAGTTACTGTAAAGAGCAGTTGAAACTTCAATATTACATCTATTAATATTTTTGTTCTCAGTTCTGTAAGACCATTTAAGGCCTTTATTAATCATAATATACAATATACTACTAACAATAATGAACATACTCTTCGCTTCTTGTATAATATTCATTTTAAAGTTGARGGCTGCATTAAAACAAAGCAAAGCTTTTGAATTGGTTTGGATGGTAAGTTCTCAAAAGAGAGTGGATATGCAAGGCCAGCTCTGGGGGCTCTGTCAGGATGACTGAGATGACTGTCATGTGGCACAGCACTGCAGCAAGAGGGGAACCCCAGACTCATTCCAGAAGGAGCCCAAGGCACCACACATTTATYTATCCATTGTATTTGCATCACGTTTTCCCAGAGAGCAGCATTCTGCTCCTAACAGAGCCATTATCCAAATACACTCTTCTCTAGTATGTACTCTTTTGGTACTGTAAAGTATAGGGGAAGGGCTACTCCTCCCACCTGCAATTTGTGCCTTGGGACACAGGCCACATGTTCTATGTGTTCCTCWGTATATTATACATGCTCTGTGGCTYTCAGCTCTTGGATGCACGTTCCACCTTTAGAACTAAAACGCCTTAAAGAAAATGACTGTTGGCTGGTCACAAAGGTMTGAAGCTTAACACAAAGTCATAAATTCAGCAGTAGTATATCCACTCCCAGTCCAGTGACGCAAGGATGAAACCTACCCACATTTTGCCATGGGGGATTACCAAATTAGAAAACAGAAATGAGCTCAGTTGCAGGGCATCAAAGCCTGTCCCCATGGGATCCTCTGATATCCCTTCTGCTGTTGAGTCCATTTTTTAGGTCTTCCTTTAGTCCGTCATTTTCCCAATATGAGAGATGAGGAATTTTCAGAGAGACACTGCTCTTGGAGGTCCCATTCTTCAGCTATGTCCATCCACAAGAAGCTGTCTGGAGAGTCAGTCATTTTTCTTGTTTCTGGGTGATGTTGTGAACACAAGAAACACATGACAGTGCAACCATTCAAATACCTATAAATAAAGTTGTAACACTTTAATAACAGTCACTGCCTGCGTATCCACTCTGTTTTGAGAACTTACCATCAGAATTCTTGCTCATTTGTATTATTAACATTTCCCYGTGTAAGACTATAATAAAAATACTTAGTATTTACTAATAGAACTCTGAAAAAAGATATTTTTGTCTGTTTAGACTGTAGTTGGAAGTATAATACTTGAATCACCAGCAGCACTAAATTTTAGAAAGGTGTATGCTGGTGAGAAATGAATTGTCCCTTTTATATTACAATTTATTGACAAGTAAGGCAAATGGCAAGCAAGTACTTTTCATCTGGCATAATTTATAGGAAATCAAAAAAGCAAAACMATGTTTTTCTCCTTATTTCTATGAGGATTTGACAAGGAAAGCAGCTAAACTTCATTGGACTCAAYGACCATAAAGGACTTTTCCAACCTTGGTAATTCAGGGAAGGTAAAACAGCCCACAGATGGGCAGAGGTCCATGGATTATGCCAAAGCAGCACAGGGACATCACAGTGCTTCCAGGTGAAAACCTCGTGGACTGCAGAGAAAGGAAGGAAAACATTTGAATCAATGGAGTCACTCTTGTTATTACAAATATAAGRCTTGTTATTTTTATTTTCTTGTAGTTGTTAATAAAGAAACCAGAAAAAAAAATCCAGAGGAATAGAAAGGAGAGACTGAAGAGAAGTTGAGGTCACCTTGGAATTAATTACTGCAACACACTGAACATGAGCACACATCTCATCTTAGTAAACAACTGAGGATTAACATTTAACTCTGTATTGGCAATGTGAAGCTAATTTCTGAGCATTTTGAATTATTGACAGTATCCTTTAACTTTAGCATCTACTCCCTTAAGGCTGACCGTTCTTCCTTGTATTTGAAGARGGCAGAACAGAGGCAGAACAGACCAAAACAAATATATTTGGTTCCTGCCCTCACAGGCCSCACTGTATTAAAAGCTGTCAATACCTGAAACTTTCAAAGATGTTACACGTTAAATCACAGCCTTTCATAATGCTACAAGATAAGCTTATTTTCATACAATATCTTAAAGGTGATTCGGGCTTCCRTGTTCTATGGTCATATATGTTCATACAAAAAAAAAACAGCTGAAAAGATCTGTACATTTAAATTTAAGGCCACTTATAGCTCTTATCCTCACAGGCAGCAGGAGCGACTATGCCCTGGAAATTCAAGCCATCTAAACACATCTCATAGTGTTTGGAGCTGGCTGGCTTGTAAAACGTTTAGGGCAGAGAACTTTATTGATATTTTTAGTATGTAGCATTTCTCCCATCCTGCTATTTAAATATTTTCTTTGTTATGCTGTCAATACATAATTTTTATTTCCCTTACCAAATGTTTGGGTTTTTTTATTTGAATTGCTTGACCATTTTTTTTTTACCATCACTAATTGCTAAGATTGAAAAAACAATTAGAAATCGCTTTTTAGAGAGCATGCTAAGCGGCACACAAATATTAACAATCGGAAACTCAAATCTTAATGTCAGTGTTGGCTTGCTCAGGAAATGCAGATATATTTCTGCCTTGAGGATGCCAGGACAACAAATAACAWTAATTTTTAAATTTGCATCCATATTTTAAAGAAATTTATGCCCTTATATAAGTAAAGTTTAGCAGAAAGCTACATACATAGGCCCMCGTTTCAGATTCAGATGAACAAAATTCCTTTAAAAGGTTAAATTGAGGCCTTCCTTGAGGTTGAGGTTTTAGCCTGGAGAAATCCAGACAGATCACTCCTCTAGATGTAACAGAAAACTGTTAACRGCATCACTGACCATTTCAGTGTTTATGTGAAGTTAGTCTTAAATTATTTAACAAGTAAATAAAAAACAATAGTCACAGTTAATTAAATTAAACAGTTACATAAAGTGCTGGATTATTATGTCTCTGCTGGAAAATAACTTAAAAAGTATGAAGGAACACTAAAGGCAACTTAAAAAGTATGAGTGAACACTAAAGGCAGCTTTCAGAAGTCAAAGATGGCAAGACACTTTAGTTTTGTCCCAAGATGAGCAATAACGTCTGAAGAACTGAGCAATGAAACGATGCATCAATTGGAATGAAAACTTCATAATCTGTAAAGTAAACCGGCTCATTTTATAATTTTTAAAATTTCTTGAATAGGATTTACAAACTGGAGGATACACCCAAAATAACTAGTCCACAGTATTCCTTAAAAAATTATAAATTATTTGCAACAGTTTCTTTAATGGAGATCGCAGGAGTGGGTCCCACATGTGTCCATATATAGCCTTTCTCTGGCCTTGTAGGAACGGTAGGGAAGGGAGATGATCGAGATTTGAAATATTCTGAAGGTGCATGACAAACAAATTCCAAATATTCCATTTTCCTTGGGAGATCTTCTTCTGGTCCTAGGGAAAAAAAAAGAACCAAAACTTCAAAGACAAAACTTAAAGGCTTAAAATTGAGTATATTACATAAAAATATGCAATGAAAGCCAACATTCCCTTTGAAAATTTGTCTTTGCAATCAATGACTTTCCTAGAAAAGTAACTTCAAGTATTATTATTAGTATTACCCTCAAGAAATCTCTACTTTTAAGTTTTGCTGGGCTGATCTTTCTCCCCATCCCATTTGATGCAATCTGGTTATTTGAGTGAAGTGATGTAGTTAATATATTTTAAAACTATTCTATCTGTGTCCTGGGTGTCAAAAGGACTTCTCTGAATTCCTAATTTTATCATCAGTAGCAGAMCAGTCTCCAGGCCACTGCTTTCATGCTGTGTATTTTGAATACTCAGGATAAAGATCSGGTAATTCAGGTCCCTATAAAAGAAACAACTTGAACTGGTATATGAGAATCAAAGTTACTATGGTTTAAATCTATCCACAGAACAATAATTTGATCTTTAAAGTTCAACTTTGATCTTTAAAGACAACTGTGATTGTCCCCACAAACACTCAGATAATCACAGTACGAGATTACCATTACTGCAGAGTGCTTATCATATTATATACATGAGATAAATAAAAGGTGTTATTACAGTAAATGAGATGTTTACAGGATGAAGGTCTACAATGTGCAATTTGCTTAAGTTCCTTGACAAGCTAAAATGTTCATTTAAAAAGTACAGCTCTGCATTAGTGTAGGCACGTACAAATAGTTGTATAAACTTCTTTGTTTATATACTATACAAACTAAGTTGTATAAGCTTGAAGATTACCTATGATATAGGATGCTGGGTCAAAACAGTCTTTGGGGCTGGCTTGTGTAGGAATGAGCCAGGTTAGTGCAGCACTCTTTTCACAGTATTGGTCCTGAATAAACCCACGGATCTGAGCATAGTATGTTCTTCCATCCTGCTCATCAACCACYGAAACAACATCTCCAATTTGATAGTACACACCCTAGAAGACACACAAATTACACTGAAATCAAGCAATCTGATTCTGTCAGCTTTACACCATGATTCTGATTCATATCCTAAAGTATCAGAACCTTAAATTATCCTAAATTATACCACTCTTGAAAGGCATCTTCAATTCAGGCACATGCAAAAGAATTTCACCCAACCAGACATGAGCACTGCTCATGCAGTCCCTGGGTGTCAGGAGTCTGAGGCTCCTGGCCACACAGCAGGGACAGTCAAGAGGAGGGGAGTGCAACACCTGTGTCTGAAGAACTTCACTCATTTTAATGCAAAGGAGTCCCAGAACACAGATCCACCTCCTGCCACTCTCCATGGTGCTCTCTGAAGTGTGAGGCTGTGCAGCAGAGGCACCTCATTCCAAGCTGCAGTGTGTCACACACTCACTTTTGAGCGCCTGCATTCACAAGATCCGTTAGTTAAGAATCATCCAGGAGGGTTTTGTTTTTGAAACAGATTAAAAAGAACACAAAACCCCCCAAACAATCCCGTTCACAGCACTGCAAAATATCAAAGCAGCAATATTTTGCATAAGGAGGTTAAATAGAAGTTTAAACRTAATTGTTAGGAATTTCTGATAAAAATAAACACACAAGACAGTGTGAACTTTTCTGAACTGGTCAACAGCAAACAAGAGATTCATCTGGGATGCCAGGCGTGAAGCATGGCATATACTCTCAGGTCCCTGGAGAGTACATGGAATCTCAGCCCACACTGGCTGTGCAGTCTCCCACTGTCTATTCTGACTTTTTTTTTTTTTTTGGGGGGGTGAAAGGGGGAAAAAACATTTAAGTTTGCCTGTACTGCTGGGAAACAAAAGCAAATTTCAGAACTTGCAAAACACTAACACCTTGGCATGTTGGTAAAAGTGCCTCAAGCATGAATGTGAGAAGGTTCCCTTCTGCTTTGCTGCAAGTGCCAAGAGATCTTGTTCCCAGGGTGTCTGARACTGCTTGCACCAGCTCTGAAATGGGAGCCAGCTGAGATGCTGGGGCACTGCAACCCGCCCCCTCTACCGGGCAGTAAGTTCTGTGCCTCGGGTAGGAAACATGACACAAATCTAAATAATCATCACCAGTCACTTTTACTTGACCTCTACACAGTGAAAGTTAAGTTTAAAAACGTTGACTGCAATAATTACTAAAAAAAAACGAGATGCATTTTTGCTTGCAAGAGAACAACCTGGGGCAACGATAACTATTTAAACTATTTAGGTAAACTACCTTGCAAAACTTAACAGAATAACTACAAGAAACCAAATTCCTACACAACTGTTAAGCAAGGAAGAACAGTTTCTGTGACTACATGCCTAGTGCTTTCACTGTCCATGAAAATTCTTAAAAGTGGAAACAGAAACAGCATGAACTTTTTTTGCAAATAGTTTGCAGAAACCATACCTTATGAAAGATTGATTCTGCTGTTATTATAGTGGATACAGACTCAGGAGCCTTGATGGGCTAAGAAAAGAATATAGAAATAGAAAAKCAAGAGCATTAAAACAAATCAACCAAAAATTGCTTTTCCTTTTAGACAATATATAGATACACACTATCCTCTAAGAAAACTAGCACATATTTTTRTTTTAAAGCTAAAAACAAGCGAGCTAACGTTTTAATTCCCAGGAGAAGCGGGTGCTGAACTCCCATGACTCCATTCCCCCTCCGCGCTCGCCCCAGCCGCCCCAGGCTCCCGACCCACCCGCGGCCCCCGCTCCCCGCCACGCACCGCCTTACGTTTTTCAGCTTGAAGATGTGCCTCCTGCCCTTGCCCTTCGTGGAAACCTTCTTCTCCGCGGCGGGCGCCGACTTGTACTTGGTGTTCCTGAGCCGCGCCGAGCGGCGGTGGATCTCCTGCTTGCTCTGTGGGGAATGGCGGGACCAACACTCGGGGGACGGCCCGGACACCCCAACCCCGCCCTGCCCGGCCCCGGCAGCTTCATCACCATCACCATCACCCTCACCCTCACCCTCACCCTCACCTGCTTCCCACCCCCGCCTCCTCCTCCTCCTCCTCCTCCGCCGTTGCTGTGCTGGGCGGCTGCCGAGGTGGTGGCGAAGGCGGCGGGCGGGGGCGGCGCCGAGCGGGCCGTGCAGTTGTTGCACAGAATCTCGCCCTGCCCGCCCTTCTTCCACATGGAGGAGGACGTGCTGCGGCACACGCTGCAGGTGGGCTTCAGCCCCAGCGGCATCCTGAGCGCGGCGCGGGGCCCGTGGGGCCGATAGCGAGCGGCGGGAGAACGGCGCCCACAGCGGCCTCAGCCCCGGCCCCTTCCCGGCGGCGGCGGATGTGGCGGGCCCGGAGCGGCGGGGCCGGCCCTGCCCTCTGCTGGCGGCGCCCCGGCCCCGGTGACAAACGGGTCCCGGTGACAAACGGGTCCCGGTGCCCGCAGGGCGCTGCTTCGGCTCGGGCGAAGCACAGTGAGCGGTGTCCGGTCAGTCCGCGGGGAGGCCCGACCGTGTGGGTGGGGCTGCTCAGCCTGGACAGAAGAAGGGCGTGTGGAGACCTCCCAGCACCTTCCAGCATCTGAAGGGGCCCTACAGGAAAGCCAGAGAGGGACTGTTCGTCAGGAATTGTAGTGACAGGACAGGGGGATTTGGGTGCAAATTGAAAGAGAGAAAATTTAGATCAGATATTGGGAAGGAATTATTATCTGTGAGTATGGTGAAATATTGCAGTAGGGTGCCCAGGGAGGCTGTGGGTGTCCCATCCCTTGCAGTGTTGAAAACCATGCTGGATCAGGACTTGAACAACCTGGTTTAGTGGGAAATGTCCCTGCTCATGGCAGGGGTCCTGGGACTGGATGATTTTTAAGGTAGCTTCCAACCTTTAACATTCTGATTCCATGCTGCAGAAGCTGCCTCTGGTTGCATTCCTGTCTGTATGGGGACCACAGGTGCTGTCATCTAGGGATTTTCAGCTCTCATTCTTCCTGCTCAACAGAAAATCAGAGCATAGGAGATGGACTCCARTGGCTGTCCTGATTCAGGAGAAAGTGTTGGTGGAACATATGCCAGTTTTGGCCTTCATTTGGGAAACATCTTACATTTCAGAGGTGGTGAGGCACTGGAACAGGCTGCCCAGAGAAGTTGTGGATGCCCCATCCCTGGAATGTTCAAGGCCAGGTTGGATGGGGCTCTGAGCAATCTAGTCTAATGGAAGGAGACCCTGCCTGTGTCACTGGGGGTTGGAACTGGATCATCTTCAAGGTCCCCTTCAAACACAAACCACTCTATGATTCAATGAACTGCCCCTCTTGCATGGACCCTCAGTCATGTATCAAATAGTTTAAAGCTCCAGGGAATGAAGCTCTGAGAGCAAATGTAGGCACCGTGGTTCTAACAATGGCTCTTCACCTCCTGCTACTCACGTGGCCCCTGGCCATCCATGTAGAGGTTTCAAAGAAATGCCCACTCATGCATGAGGATTTGCAGTCTCTTAGTTCTCATACTCAGTTTCCATCMTTTCCATCCTTGCTAATGAAATTGATTTTTGTCTTGTCCTCAGTGGACACAAATAGCCATAATTTGCAGGGATCTATTTACAGATGTTTCGGTCATGCAGCCTGCAGTGGAGGCAGCGTGTGCCTGGGTTGGTCCTGGCTCATGGACAGCTATGTTTAACCTCTTGAATGCCTCTCTTGCACACCAGCTTTGACTTGCTTGTCTGGGGTACCAAAAATATTTCTCAATTTTGATTTAAATCCTGATTTACCTTCATCTTTATTCAAGCTGTTGATACTTACTGGGTGCAATTCATTTGTTTTCTGCTTCTTTAATGCATGCCTCTATAAGTTTATCTTGCAGATCAAGTATCTCACAGAGCCCTTAAACTCTTCCCACCACTCTTTTTTTGCAGCTTCTGCCTGCTTTTGTTCCCAATCACCCACCTCAGYGGTTCTGCACTGCTGGGCCCCTCTCACTGCCATCACATTGGCAGAGCATCACTGGTCGGCGTAGAAATGGSCTAGAAATGAGTGATGATGTCCATTTCTGTCCAGATAAGTATCTAATACTTTGTCAAGGCTTCTATTTTGTGAACTTTTATGAGTTACATTGTTAATGGATAAGAAATAAAATTGGCAATATGTGGTTTTTTTCAACTCAAGTTTTGTTATAGCCTTTCTACCATCTTCCCAACTCCTGGCTTTCAACCCTTTAAGTCTTTCTGAAACCAGCARGGTCTTTTCTATCACAAATGTAGAATGTGTGTGGTTTACACATATGTGTGTAATTTTAATATGCTACTTTGTATTGTTTATAACTTATCCACTGTGATTATTCTGYTTTTAAATAATAACTTGAATAAAAAAAAATCCAAACCAATAAAGCTCAAGCTTTAAGAAACCTAGTCTGAGGTGATACTTTAAAATAATACAGAAAATATTTAGACAACCATTTTTATATTGTCAAAAAGAGTTTTAGATCAGTATTTCTTGGCAAGTGYGATTCTGTCATTTCAATGGAACCACAGTAAAATGACATCTTGACATTACAGTGTATTTGGTATAATTCTGTTGGCCTCGTGTAAGACCAGAGAGAGGCAGGAACTGCTGTCAGTGTTGTCACGTGGGAAGGTAACACATTTGACAGTGGTTAGGAAATTTTGTCAAAAATTAAACCCAGTGTATCTTTTATCTTAGCTAGGCAATAGCTGAAATGTTCTGATTTGAGAGCTGCTGAATACCTGGTAGCTATGGGTAGAAGGAGAGGTGGGACTCAGGACTTCTTAAAAGTACTCTTCTCTCTAGAAGATCCCTTGCAATGTCGGTCCTAAATTTTGAGCATCCTCTTCAGTTTTCTGATTTTCCTTAACAGAACTAGCCTCTCTTTGAAGTTGAAGTGGGTTCACTCAGTCTGTGTCTTGACTGAAGTGCTTGATGCAGCAGAGGCATTTTGCACAGTGTATACTCAGCTAAAGTTAGAGAATAAATATTTTTTTCCATTTAATAGGTATTTTCACTTTATTTTTACTCCWGTAAGAGGAAAGGCTGCCCTTTGGAGTAATCAGAGCCCACCCCAGCTCTGTGAAACTTCCAATGTAGACTCCACAAAGAAGTGGAGAAAATAAAATGTCRGCTCCACTGTGGAGGGGTGTTCGGGACACACTCGCTGTCTGTGCAGAAMGGTTTCTTCTTGGGAGTTCTTGGTGAGAGTGGTTTTTATTGGAGTGATGCAYATCCGCAYACACTGCTCATTTCCAGCTTGAGTAGTTGAGTTGCTCTGCAGTGGATTTAATTGCATTGCTTCTTCCTAGCTTCTTACTGCCATCCCATAGTCAGCTGGCTCACAGCTGAARAAGCCTTTATTCTTATTATCTGTGTGTAGCTGTTCCACAGTCAGCTGCACAGGATGCAGAGGATGCACCTGGAGTGCTTCTCCAGAAATATTTGTGTTGTAAATGCATGAAATTAGGTTTGAATCTGATGGACTGGTGCACTCTGCATTTCCACATGGGTATCTTCTAAGGTTCTATACTTAACAGCTCTCTTGTGAGAAAAGCAGCTTTTATTCTCTTAATTTCCAGAGCCACAACTGATGCTTTTCTTGAGAAGTGTTGCACAGTTATTCCTTGCATAAGTAGCACGCATCTGTCTTTGCAGCTTCTGGGTCTTAATTACTCATTCAAGCTTGTGGAAGAGCCAAGAATTAACCCCAGATTTTGTGAAGTCTGGTTTTTCACCCTCATGAAGGATGTGGGTAGATAAACCCATAACAAAGACAACACAAAATGACCAAAGGATGTCAAAGCTGTGTCTAGAGCCAGACAATTGCTTGTAAAGAAACTAACTATGATTATGTGTGCGTTTGGCTTCCATTCTTACCAGCCTCCCTGAGTGTTAGAGCGGGATGCCTTCTGTGAGGGTGCTGAGGCACTGGAACAGTCTGCCCAGAGAAGCTGGGAATGCTCCATCCCTGAAGTGTTCAAGGCCAGACTGGATGGAGCTCTGAGGAGCTTGGTCTAGTGAAAGGTTCCCCTGTGCATGGCAGAGGGATTGGAACAACATGGTCTTTAAGMTTCCTTCCAACCCAAACCAGTTTCTGATTCCATGATCTTGGCATGCTTGGTGAAGGAAGTTGATGACACTAYTGCAACAATTAACAAAACAATTTAGTGCTAATAATGTAACAGAGGCTATCTGGAATTTCCAGGCAACAATGGAGAGTGGATATTAAGTGGCACTTATGTAACACTAATTAACAGAACCTTTCACAAAAATTAGTCCCTCCCCTCTTTAGCACCACCATTTCTAGTGACAAGGCATTACTCTACAAAGAACAAATGCACAATATGGCTATAGCAAGTTAGACAAATTCTGGTTTAGATTTTGTTTTCAAAGCTTAATGATGGTACCTTATATTTACAAATCAAAACATTCAACTTTCTACATGGTGTCCAACTAATCTGGCATGGAACTAACATAATCCTAAAAATGTCTGTCAGCAGTCTCAAGGATCTGCTGCAATAAGTCTAAGATGTAATGAGACAGAACGGAATTAGTTTAAGTAATAAATGTTTAATCAAAGAATTTTACATATTATTAACAGCATTCATTTGGCCAAACATCTACATGGTTGTAGTATCCTACTTGTATATAAAGTGGGAATGTATCAAGTATAGACTATGAAAGTGCAAATAACAATTCAAGGTTAGAGTAATTTTTTTACATTATAAAATTAACAGGTTTACAAAATAGTCTTGCCAAACTTTTATTTTTGAATTGTAAAGTCAATGACTATGGTGTTAAAATAAGTACCAAGAAAATACAAATTTAATAGGCTAATTTCATGCTCATAAGAGTAACACGGAAACAATGGATATACTGCACAACCTAACCAAATTACAAAAAACCAGAACCCACAAACTTCACTATCTTCACAGAGAGCACTCTTACATATCTTACTGCAACTTTGCAAGACATCTCAATGCAATACACAATCTTTTTGTGAGAATCTTTCTATTCAGAATTTACCATTCAAAGAAGCTATGTSAGTTAAACAACTTTCTGACCAATTCATGATGACAGTTTATGAAAGACTGTTTTCATTGAAGGACTTTATACTTATAGGTATTTTTCAAAGGCTCAATATTATGTCAGGAGTGGGTGGCGAGAGGAAAAGTTGGAAAATTATTCATTCTCTCTACAGATGCTTGAAAAATGGACAAGGTTTTTATGGGGTAGGGATAAAATATTCTTATTTAATTTTTTACTAATATGAACCTTGTAACTGCAAGGTTCCAAAGCTGGA